TTTAACATTGTGCATGACGTTTTCTAACAGGTTTTTGTGGTTGGACATGTTGAATGAAAGTTTTTTTCACTTGCATAAAAATGTTGTGTGAAAAAAAGGGGAAAACACGAGTGAAACATTAACCTTGCATTTCCTTCAGAGTGTTTTGCTCGTTGATTTCTTCTTCAGAGAGATGGCGTAGAGTCTCCCCAGACTGAGCTCTGTGCCAAAGAAACACTCTCAGAATCCTCAGAGACTGTGTATATGTACATGTGTGTACAGTGCTCAGTATATATAAGTACACCCCTCGCAAATCTATCTGTTCAATTCATATTTTTAATAGGAAGCTATACAATATTATATTTAAACGTATACATTAGATTAGTCAGTACTGAAGCCAAATCTGGAGCTTATCTAACAAAATAACTTACAATAACGTCCAAAAACTAGTACAGCCAAATAAATATGTTATAGAAAAATATTAAATACACATTTTCAAAAAGAGGAAAAATCAAGAGAAACAAAAATAACAAAAAATTTAGTTTTGGAAGTCGTAATTTATTTTTGCATTATTTTTCTTAAATTTAATTGTATTATATTTCAATTTCTCAATATTTTTGTTGACTAAATATAATTTTAATAAACATATCGGTTTAATAAAACTGTCTTGTTTAAATGAGGCAAAATACATTGCATATATTAACTGAAATTCACTTAAATGGATAAAAATATTCATTTTCAAATTGGGGTGTACTCCATTTTGCTGAGCATTGTATGTGTTTCGGGTATCTGTCACTTTGTGAGAACCAAATGTCCCCAAAAGTATAGCAATACTTGTAATGTTGACCTTCTGGGGACATTGTTTGGAAAATAGCCATGTTTCCATCCACCTCTTTTCTATGCGCATTTTGGAATATTGCATAAAAATAAAACATTGGATAAATGTATATAAAATGCAAATAAAACATAAGCGCACAACTGTACCCAACTACATTCAGTAAATGTAAATGTTCAGTAAATGTAAGCTTCATTAAACTTTTTATCCAATAATAAAAATGTGCATGAGCAATGATGGAAACACATTAACTGAATAAATTTCAGTGTGTGCATCAAAAAGGTTGTGTAATGTTTTTTTAGCAGATCATGTGATAGCAAAAATAGGTGTGATGAGATGGCATTAATGACAATCTAGTGGACAGACCACTTTGCACAACATCTATAATGTTGTTTTGGTCATTCTAAAATGCCTCAGCCAAAGTCCGTCTTGTGATAGATAGTAGTTCAGGTTTATTATTATAATATTATTATTATCACCTCCCAAAACTGTCATGAGCGTCTGCGTTCCTGAAGAGTGGTCTCTCACCTCCAAAACCCACTGCGCATTCATTGCATTTCGTCTTCTAAGATGTATGTAATTTATTATATAAGAATGAAGGCCCATGGCCCTTAGTGGCTTCTCTCATCACAGCAAATTTCATTTTAATTTATGATATTTGGTGCCAGATTATTAGGAATTGTCTATTTTATTCTCCTTGACACATTGAATGGAAACAGATCATAATTTGCAAATGTTTTATGCGATATTACAGTTTTGCTCATGAATCTAATTTGCATCTCTGGATGGAAACATAGCTAATGACTCATTAATCATCCAGAAAAGTATTTTGAAATGTAGACATCCAGAATGTGTTCTGTGAGGGTTGAGGTAAGAGAACCAAATACACAATGTGTGTATATGTTATAAAAATCATAACATTTATTGGAAGTCCCTATTAAACATTAAAACTCAACATGTGTGTGTTTGTGTGTGTGTGTGTGTGTGTGTGTGTGTGTGTGTGTGTGTGTGTGTGTGTGTGTGTGTGCGTGACATACAGCAGGGCTCCCTTGGCTCCGTCATCCACATCAGTAACTGTGAGGCTCAGGCACGGCTGCTGTCTCAGACTCTGGGGGAAGTGTGGGCCGTCTGTACAGAAATGAAGCTCGGCACCCTGGGTGATGTAGGCTGAGTGTTAATGTATTAATATTAGTCTGTCTGTGTGTGTGAGTGTGTGTGTGTGTGTGTGTGTGTGTGTGTGTGTGTGTGTGTGTGTGTGTGTGTGTGTGTGTGTGTGTGTGTGTGTGACAGATGACGAGTGTGTTAAACCTGTGAGATGTCCTGCAGGCAGTACGGCCTCCCTCTGTTCCAGTACACACCACGAGCGATAAAGGGCAGAGCGTTCCATCTGAGAATCAGAGATCTGATTACTATTTATCCCTTCTGATACGTTAATGTTCAAGAAAAATTATGTGATGATGTGTTGTGTACATACAGTTGAAGTCATAATTATCAGCCTCCCTATATATATTTTCCCAATTTCTTCAAAATAAGACTAATAAAAAATTTCCAGAAGAAAAAATATTACAAATTGTAATACTGTAATACTGTATTTCACAGTATTGTCAATACTGTGAAAAAAATTCTTGCTCTGTTTAACATAATTTGGAAACCTTTAAAAATGAAAAAATAATTAAAAAGAGCGAATAATTTGACTTCATGTGTATAAAATGGAAAAAAATCAAAGCCTGACCTGTTTTTACCAAAATTTCGGTACTCATATATGGTCATTGTTTGGTCACATGTGAAGAAGAAGCCAATCAGTTTTCGACATGCTTCACGTCCACACCTATATATCAAACACAAGCATATTACAAAAATAACACCAATACTTTTTAGAAAATATAATAAATACCTTGATAAAATCCTGGCTTGAAAGCAGAGCTTGTTGGATAAGATGTTCTCTGTTAAAGACATCCGTGTTTTTACCCTATAGACACAAAATGAGAATCTAAATATCACATATATTTACCAGCGACAGCAAAGTATTAGTAATATGAGTAATTTCTTCTTTTTTTAACTTTCTGTAAATGGTTGTTAAATGTTTTTGAACCCTGTTTCCACCAGGGGTCCGTTCTTCGTACCTCGCTTAAATGATCTAAGATGATCTGGCAGATCTTGGATCTTTTAATCTTGATAACTGATCTCTGGCTAATTTGGTTCTTCAAACAAGTTTGTGAATCAAATTAAATGTCTGGATGAACTGATCTGAGATCGCTGCGTGTGTAGTAAAGAACTGATCTATCGATCCACGAAATCATGATCAGCAATGCAACGATTGGCTGACAGCTGCGTCATGACATCAGCTGATTAATACTCAATTATCCATGGAAAATTACATCAAATCAGCAGTAAACGGTTTGTTAAATATGACACGCAAAGACTTTCCACGTTTGTTGTGGGCTGCAGGCTTTACACTTTCATGTTTTTACACTTTCAATGCATATCAATGTATTTATTTCGACATTTAGAGAAGAATTTCTATATTATAGTAGTCTATGCCTACTTAAGTTTTTTTAATCGGCGTAAGGAATAACTGTATAAATTAATTTTGTTTCAAAAAGCATTTTTATATTGGTAAAGGTGTCAATCCCCGGCATATTAGTGATCAAAACACGGGCTTGACTGCATTAATTATTATCCTTTTTTTTTTTTAAAGTCGAATATTGTGCATGTACGCGTTTGTATCTAAAAAGATCATATCAATACATTTTCTCTTTGAACCGCAAGTGGCAGTCTTTGTACCTTTATTTCGGAGTGCAGATTGCATAATTTTTACACATATATATATATATATATATATATATATATATATATATATATATAGTGAGGCAGAAATCACTCACAGACAGTTTACACCTGCATCGAGTGCAGGCGTGACCAACCCTGTTCCTGGAGATCGACTTTGCTGCAGATTTCAGTTGCAACCCATGTCAAACACACCTGCCTGTAATTATCAAGTGCGGTTCAGGTCCTAATTAATTGGTTCAGGTGTGTTTGATCAGGGTTGGAGCTGAACTTTGCAGGAAGGTCGATCTCCAGGAACAGGCTTGAGCACCACAGTGTGTAAACTGAGACTAAATTTACCAATAAAATGTATCTTAACACCAGGACTAAAGTGGGTTTGGATAAAACATAAAAAAGTGATTGATGTAACAATAGTTTCTAGGAGAGTTATATATAATTGCGCCCAAATTAAAACAAAACAATACTCATGGATTGATGGTTTACGACTGCATCTGGATTTTGTTTTTAATGTGAAGTTATTCACCACATGAAAATGTTTAAAGTAAATTTTGCATTTATTACCATATTTATAACCAAATTGCCAGCTAAATTGTTTTTGATAAAATATTTTCCATTAATATTTGTGCTAAAATATTGAGCATTAATATTTGAATACTTAAAGAACACATTCATGTTCATGGTTTCAGGTTTCTGATATTGGTTATTTTAATTCATTCATTCATTCATTTTCTCTTCGGCTTATTCCCATTATTAATGAGGGGTCGCCACAGCGGAATGAACCGCCAATTTATCCAGCATATGTTTTACGCAGCGGATGCCCTTTCAGTTGCAACCCATCTCTGGGAAACATATTCACAAAAATACAATACCTATTCACACAAATACTGGCCCCAGCCGGGAATCTAACCAGCGACCTTCTTGCTGTGAGGCGATCATGCTGCTACACACTGTGCTGCCCATGGTTATTATAATGTTTTATCTTATTTATGTTTCAAACAGTTTTATTTGATATATTTTGACTCTTTATTTAAATCTCACAGCAGTGTGTTCTCTCAAACTCCCAGGTTTCAAATCTTAATTTGTGAAACACTGATTTTTGTTTAAAACTAACATCACATGTCTTGTTATTTCTCCTTCAGATATAGAGTTGTAACAAAAGAACGCCTTCAAGCATAAAAGATTATTTAAAGGGACAGTTCACTCAAAAATGAAAATTCTGTCATCATTTCACTTGTTTTGAACCTGTTTGAGTTTCTTTCTTCTGTTGAAGAGAAAAAAAAGGATATTTTGAAGGAAGCTGGAAACCTGTAACCACTGACTTCCATAGTATTTGTTTTTCCTACTATAGAAGTAAATGGTTACAGTTTTTTAGCTTTCCTCAAACTGTTTTCTTTCGTGTTGGACAGAAGAAAGAAACTCTTAAAGGTTTTGAGCCACTTTAGGGAGAGTAAGTTGTAAGTAAATTTTATTCTAGCTAATTTTATATATATTTAAAGTGACTTACAAATGAGAAACCAAGAACCAAGTCTACAATATTCCTATAAAAACATATTTCAAGCTGCAATTTTTACTTCAATCCTTGTACTTTACAGAAAGAACATTTTGTAAACAGATTTTGGAAAAATTCATCATCATGATTACGGAGTGATTGTGGGTATGTGCAAAGGCGTTGTTACATGGTTGTGAAGGTGTTGTGAGAGTCACTGATATGCGGCAGCAAAACTTCAATACTTCAAGATATAATTTAAAAAAAAATCTGTTATAATTTACTCACCCTCCACTTTTCCAAACTTAATTAAGTTTCCTTCTGTTCAACACAAAAGAAAATATTTTGAAGAATGGTAGCCATTGATTTTAAGTTTATTATTTCTACTATGGATGTAAAAAGCTACCAGTTTCCAACATTCTTCAAATTATCTTATTTTGTGCTCAACAAAAAAATGACATTTTGAACCATTTCTGTTTGAGTAAATAATGAGTATGAACAAAAGTTTGTGCAGCAAAACTTCAAAAATTCATGACATAATTAAAAAAATAAGTCATAATTTACAAAAATGTTTGAGTCTTTGTTAGTAATGTTAGAATGCGGTAACCATTAGTTTTAATAGTTTATTATTCCTATATAAATGTAAATGTAAAAAGCTACCAGTTTCCAACATTCATCAAATATCTTCTTTTGTGTTCAACACAAATGAAAATATTTTTGTACCGTTCATGTTTAAGTAAATAATGTGTATAAACATTAATTTGTGCTGCAAAACTTCAATAAATCAAGATATAATAAAAAAAGCACTTTAGTCATCAGGGGTCGCCACAGTGGAATGAACCGCCAACTTATTCAGCATATGTTTTACATAGTGGATGCCCTTCCAGCTGCAACCCAGAACTGGGAAGTTTCGCTTTTCTGTTGAACAAAAAATAATATCTTTTGAAGAATATTAGAAAGCGGTAGCCATTGGTTTCAATAGTTTATTATTCCTACAATGGATGTAAATGTAAAAAGCTTCCAGTTTTCTACATTCTTCAAAATATCTTCTTTTGTGTTAAACAGAAAAAAAAACATACAAAATCTTTAACCAATTTCCGTAAGTGATTATTGAGTACTAACATTAATTTTGAGGCAAAACTTCAACACTTCAGGAAATAACAAAAAAATATATATATATATATATATATATATATATATATATATATATATATATATATATATATATATATATATATATATATATATTATTTACTCTCATAATTTACTCACCCTATACATTTTCCAAAACTATTTGAGTTTTGCTCTTCTATTGAACACAAAAGATATTTTGAAGAATGTTGGAAGCTGATACCGATTGATTGCAATAGTATATTTTTCCACTGTATATAGATGTAAATGTAAAAAGCTACCAGTTTCCAACACTCATCAAAATATCTTCAAGTTTAATTGGGACATTTGTGAGTAAATAATGAGTAAAACACTCATTTTTGGGTGAACTATCTCTTTAAGTTAAGCATTATCGGTATACCTATAACAACACCGGTGGCTTCAATAATAAAAATAAAAAATCTAATTATAGATAAAATAAAATAAAAATAAGTGGGAATGAAAACCCTGTGACCTTCTACAAATCTGTGACTCTGGGACAAAACGGGGTTTTGGAGAGGAGAGCGTTGTGAACGTGACTCATGTACGCGTGTGGGTTTTACTGAGTGTGGTGAAGAGTTCTCCTGTAGCGTGGTGGGACACTCGTGGGACTGACAGACACAGCATTCTGCTCCGGATCGCTAATGACAGCCCTGCATGAGCACGAGAGAAACCTCACGATGTTATTACTCACCACAGACGGACAAAAAATGGAACAGAGATAGAGAGAGAAACACTGACCTCGACAGCTGGTCCACCATAACCTGCTCAATTACAGCTTGCAGTTTCCTCTCCTCTGTAAGCCCCTCCTACCCACAAACACATAAATATAGCAACCAATCACAATCAGTGCTCTTAGAAGACAAATCAGTGGAGCTAATCAAAAACCCTCCAGCAGAGAGAGACAAGCGAGTCTGGCCAAATACATGTACTAAACTAAGGGTTAGTTCATCCAAAAATGACAATTTACTCATAATTTACTCACATTCAAGTGGTTTCAATCTAGTTTTTTTTCTGCTGAAAACAAAAGAAGATATTCTGAAAAATGCTGGAAACTGGTAACCATTGACATCCATATAGTAGTAGGATAAATAAATACTATAGAAAAAAAATAATAATAATAATAATTATATATATATATATATATATATATATATATATATATATATATATATATATATATATATATATAGTGTTCATTAGAAGAAAGAAACTCAAACAAGATTGTGATAATTATATTTAGCATAACCAAATAATATCAAATATTTTTTATTAAATAAATAGGCCTAAGTAAATCAATTTATTCTTCAACAAACCACATTAATAGCAAAAATAAAACAGGAATTATACAACCGGTATTTAATACAAACACAGAACAAATGGAAAATACATAAATATAAATAATAATTATAAAACAAAATTATGAAAAAATAATTATATAACATATACAAAATATTTTAAATGACAATAAAATTTAAATATTAAATTAAAAATTAAATCTTATTTAAAACACAACAAAGGGCTAAGCTGAACGTTTTTGGGGATTTTCTTTTCAAAATACAGTAACAAAAAAATAGACACTGACATAAATAAACCCCTAAAATTAGCTAAGCTTTTAATATTCACCTACACAAAACTAGTGCATAAATATTCATTACAATGTTAAATACTGTACATGCTAATTTGTTTTTCTACATTTAAAATAAATTAATATTCAATTATTATTTACCTGATATCTATAAAAAATTAATTCTAATGAAAGATTTTAAAATAAACATTATAAACATGTACGCTAAATATGGCAAAATTACCATTTTATTTAAAGCTTTATTTATTTATTTATTTAATTTTGGGGTTAGTGAATGATGACTGAATTTTATTGGGGGGTGGGGGGGGGGGGGGTGAACTATCCCTTGAAATATGTTTAGCATTAATAGATTTCAGTAGATTATCAGGTGGGTTTATTATAGTAACTAAATATTAAACCTCTATAACTGTAAAATAATTTTTGTTGCTTGAAAGGCAAAAAAAATGAAAACATACGACATAAAGTCTTATTTTATTTTAGGTAGTTGCCAAGAAAACATTCTCAAAATTCAAACTACAATCACTAAGACAAGTCATAAGCATGATAATAACAATAACTGAAATTAAAATTAAGGCAGAAAATCTAAAAAATAAAAAGAAACTATTCAAACTGTAAATATAAATCTATAGAAATTTATAATAAAAAATATAGTATTAATTTCTAATAAATTTATATGAACATTTTCAGTATAATTCCATTTATTATTATAGTATCATTATTATTATTCTATACATTTTTTAGATTAACTCATTCAAAAAATCTAAAATATATATTTATATATTCAAACTTTAAACATAAATCTAAAGAAACATATAGTAAAAACGTAGTATAAATTTCTAATAAATGTAGAGAAAATATTCTGTATAATTGCCTTTATTATTACTGTATTATTACTATAGTACACAGTGTTTACAATTAAAGAATTAGAATAAAATTACGGAAAAAAAATAAAAAACTTATATCTAAATATTTAAACTGTAAACATAAATCTATAGAAGTTTATAGTAAAAACAGAGTATAACTTTCTAATACATGTATATAATTATTATAGCATATTTACAATACTTTTTTAGAAGAATAAAATCAAGGCAAAAAATCTCAAATATATATTTATATAGTCAAACTGTAAACATAAATCTTTAGAAGTTTATAGTAAAAGAAATACAATATAAATTTGTAATGCATTTATAGGAAACGTTCAGTATATTTGCATTTAGTATTATAGTTTTATTATTATTATTATTATTATTATTATTATCATTATATTATATTTACAATAGTCTCTATCAACAAAACCTGACTACAAATTTTAAAACACATTTTTCGCTGCTGTAAATGATTGAACTCACCGCATCCCTCATCTTGCTGTTGACTTGTAAAGCATTGAAGCTTGTCTGTGCTGTATTTTTACAGGTGGATTCAGGTGAATGCTGGCTTGTTTTGTTGCTGTACTGTGGACTTCTCTGCGTCTGTGCTCTATAGCTCAGCTGGAGTGATTCTCCATCATCCAGAGCCACTTGATTTTGAATCAAATCCTTCATCTTGGAAGGAAAACACTGGAGGGGGAGAAACGCAAGATGTTAAACATTCCAGTGTCATTAATATTATATACAGCAGATACAGTACAAGTATGCGTTATCATGTGTGGAAATTATTGCCTTGCCTTGCCTTACCTAAATGAACAGTGGCAGAATTACTGTATATGTACTGGAAATAAAAGAAATGTGTGGAAAGGGTCAAATAAAACTGCTGTTGTGTGGAAACATAATGAATGTGTTATAAATCCTTTTGTTATGAAACTATTTTGATACGAATATATAATAAATGTTTGGTTAAAGTAGAATTAAATACATTTCTATAAATACAATTTGTGAGAAAATAATAAATGTGAGAAATAAATTATAATATAACTTTAAGTGTAAGTGAAATGTTAAGTACAGTACAGACTTTTCTCATGATACATATGCTATTACAAAAGTGCTTGATTTAAAATGAGTGGTGTTTTAAAAAGTCCTTGAATCTGCTGTGCATGAAAGCGTGGGACCCCTGTCCATAACGAAACAAGTTCTAACACATCCATCATGTTTCAAAACAAAAGCCATTTTGTTTTATTTGATATTTTTATAACCATTTGGCTGAAATAAAATCAAATACATTTCTATCAATACATTTAGTGGGAAAATAATACGTGTGAAAAAACATTATAATAAAAATGAATTGAATGCTTCATCTTGATTACAAAACAGACAGTTATTCAATGATACTAAGAAAACAGTGCCATAAATACTGTTTCTGTACTGGAAATATGATAAATGTGTGGGAAAAAGTCAAATTAAATAAAACTGCTTGTGTGTGGAAACATGATAAATGTGTTAATATGATCAATTGATTTATTATGGCGGTTCATTCCGCCTTGGCGACCCCAGATTAAAAAAGGGACTAAACTAAAAAGAAAATGAATGAATAAATGCTTTGTTATGGAACTATACTGATGTGAAAATATGACAAACATTTGGCTGAAATAAAATCAAATACATTTCTATCAATACATTTTGTGATAAAATAATACATGTGAGGAAAATATTTAAATAAAATTTAACTGAATCCTTCATCCTGATAACAAGACGGGTGGAAAAATCAAGTAGTTACAAGTTTACATAATGTGGGATAATATGGAGGAACATTACGAAAGCTTTACAGCTTAAAAGCCTAAATCATGTAATTGCACTGAAGAAAAAACCCTAACAGCTACAAAAAAAACTCAATGACACTAAAATAACAGCACAGTACTGTTTCTGTATTGGAAATATAATAAATGTGTGAAAAAGTTCAAACTAAATAAAACTGCTTTTTTTTTGTGGTGTTGGCGTGGGTTTCCTCTGGGTGCTCCGGTTTACAAGTCCAAAAACTAGTGGTATAGGTGAAATGGATAAGCTAAATTGTCTGTAGTTTATGTGTGTGAATGGATGTTCCCCAGTGATGGGTTGCAGCTGGAAGGGCATCCGCTGCGTAAATCATATACTGGATAAGTTGGCAGTTCATTCCGCTGTGGCGACTCCTGATTAATAAAGGCACTAAGCCGAAAAAGAAAATGAATAAATGGTTTTGTGTGGATACATGATAAACTTGTTATAAATCCTTGTTATGGAACTATACTGATATGGAAATATAATAAACGTTTGGCTAAAGTCAAATCAATACATTTTGAAAGAAAAGAATACATGTGAGGGAAAAATAATTTGTTTGAATTAAATACTTAACAAACAGAGTGAAGAAACAACAAATTGTTGCAAGTATACAGCATGTGTGAAAATTATGGAGGAGCACATCGAAAGCTTTGCAGCCTGAAAGCCTAATTCATGTAATTGCACTGAAATAACCAGTACTTTACAGTCTTTTGTGTTGCACACATAAAAAGACTACATAATGACAGTATATTTAGGGTGAGCTGTTCTTTTTAAAGATGTTGAATAAGCACCTGTTTTGTCGGTGTGGAGGCTGAAGAGCCCCAGCTCATGGCTGACAGATCTCCTGAAACAATCTTCATACCTGCATCCTTTACATGTATGGCAAGATGCTGTGAAAAATGACAACAGTAGGGTGAAATCTGTCCTCCTTTCCTGTCATTTGTATAATCAGTCATGTCTTGTTATCCTACCTCCTCCTCCGCGTTTTGCAGGGCGTCTAACTTTAGCACTGGAACTCTGTGAGCGATTTATTAATAATAAATGACACAAAATAATTAAGCATTTGTGTTTTCGACAGATAATATGACAATATGTGTTAGCAGGCTGTATTTATTTCTCTAAACTTACTCTGCTGGCCTGCTCCCGCGGTCTGCTCCAGTCATTTTATGCAGCTTCGGATTTGTAGTAGATAAACGTTATATAAAAATGACCGAAAAGACGTGACGCCAACACCTGTACGTCTTATAAAGTTAACGTTACTATTAAACGTACTTACCTGTTGGTCATTCTTTTGTAAATGTGAATATTTTGCGTTTGCTTTCATTGTAGTTACCACTATTTTATTTGACTTAAAATGTTTTAAAGAGGTTTCAACTTCCTCGGCCCCGTTGCTGTGGGTGATTTTATACCCAACACACTGACTCAACTCTTAAAAGAGAGACCGTCATAGTAAGTGGATTGTGGGTAATGTAGTCTGAACTGTGCATCACAGTTGATGCATTTATAAGGACTAAATCCGCTTTAACTGAGAGATAGAAAAATAGCTTCATCAAATGAATGTATTCAACAAACCAATCGCCAAATGAAAAGCAAAAAACAGCGTAATAACCAGTATTTAGTACAATAATAGTATAAATCTTATATAAATAATACTTATAAAACATGTTATATTATTCATAACGGCTGTAAAATAATCGAAATATTAAAAAAAATGGAACGTTAAAAAAGCCTATAACAAAGGGTTGACCTGAACTATAAATATAGGCTATACCACAAAAAGAAAAGTAGATATAATAATATTAGCCATAATAACTAAACGCAAATTCTAACATTCATCTACACAAAACTAGCACCATGTTTAAATATTAATTACAATGTTAAAGGCATGTTAAACTAAATGTAGTGTAGTGTATGAGTGTGTGTGTGTGTGTGTGAGAATGCGAGAATATGGGTGTTTCCCAGTACTGGGATGCAGTTGGAAGGGCATCCTATGCCTAAAACAAATGCTAGGAATATATGATGGTTCATTCCGCTGTGGTGACCTCTGATAAATAACGAACTAAGCCGAAGGAAAATGAATGAATGAATACATGTTAATATGTTCTGATAAATCCATTTATCCATTAAGAAATGACAATATTTTTTTTAAATAAACTAAATTAATTACTTTTTACCTGACATAATGAAGTACTCTACATTCAAGTTTAAAATGGACCTTCTAAATGTGTAAGCTACTAAATATGGCAAAATTGTCATTTTTGTTGCACATTTTATTTATTATTTTATGTAGCTAAACCATAATAATTAAGCTGAAATTCTAATATCCACCTACAGTACACAACACTATTACTGCATTTAAACATTAATTGCAATGTCAAATGTGTCTTAATATGTTCTAATAAATCCAAAATATAGTAATTTCTTTTTTTATAAAATGTATTAATTAGGCTACTATTTACCTGACATTAAAAATAGCTAAAAAGACATACTAAATGTGTACTTAAATATGGCAAAATGGCCATTTTTGTTCCAAACTTTATTATATGATGTAGCTGATAAGACCCATAATAATTAAGCTGACATTCTAACATACACCTACACAAAATAAGTGATGTTGAAATATAAGTTACAATGATAAATGCGTCTTAATATGCTCTGATAAATCTAAAATCAATAAAAACAAATTAACTATAATTAACCTCACATTGAAAACTACTCTAAAGTCATTTTTAAAATAGTAAATGCGTACTAAATAAAGTGCTATTTTTTGTTGCACACTTTCTTTATTAATTTATTTATTTAGCTCATAACAACCATAATAATTAAGCTGAAATTCTAATATTTATCTACACAACACTACTACTGTTTAAATATTATTTACAATGTTAAATGTGTCTAAATATGTTCTGATAAATCCAAAATAATTTATTTTTAATACAATGAATTATAGGCTACTATTTACCTGAAATAAAAATAGCTCTAAATTAAATTTCAAAAGACATACTAAATGTGTACTAAATAAGGCAAAATAGCCATTTTTGAGGCACACTTGATTTATTAATGTATAGCTAATAAGAACCATAACAATTAAGCTGATATTTTAATATACTTGGTGCAACACTATTTAAATATGAATTAGTTAATGTGTTCTGATAAATCCAAAATAAATATTTTTTATTACCATTTACCTGACATAAAGAAATAACCTACATTATTTTTAAATATACATTCTCAATGTATACTAAAAATGGCAACAAAAAAGCGTTAGTAGCGATTTGGAATAGTGTGCGCGCGCGCGCGGATGCATGCGGGCGCGTGAACTCGAGCGTGAGCCCTGAAGACAAAGAACCCCGCGCATTAAACATTTTTCGTGACATGGTGGGTGGTTCTGTTTCGGTTCTTTAAAAAGCCCCTGTAAAGGCAGACAGACAGACACTGGGAGAGAGAGAGCGACAGACACAGAGGGAGAAAGAGAGTGGGCAAATCCACGGCGCCATGACGCACAGGTCAGCGCGTCTCCTGCAGTGATGCTCCATTGACTCATTTATCCGGAGCGAAGCAGCGGCTCAGGACACTCTCCTCCTGCCATGGACTCTCTCGGCGGTCTCCTCCTGCGGATATCGGTTGTTCTGTACGGCTCCTGCAGCGTTCTGGCGCTCTTACCGGGAATCACGGAACCGGAGTTCATCCGCAGGTGTGTCAAGGCGCACAACACGCACCGCGCGCGCGTCAGTCCACCTGCGGCCGGTGCGCGCTCCATGGTAAGACAGGTGTTCGGCATGCAGGTATTTCCAGCAGCAGTTATGCTACATTTGACACAAACCATCGTATTTTAGAGTTGTTTGCGCATGTCGTGTTTACTTGTTTTCATTGTTCATGCTTGTATATTTGTGTGTGAAACCCATCAGACCAGTGTTTCAATTTTTAAATGTGCATAGTTGCATGTTTATGATACACACACGAAATTTCGTTTTGTTTTTTGTTTTTATCTCATGTTGTTTGGGATTCAGGATAACAAATATGTACAGCCATTATTGTGGTTGCCATAGCAATGAGGAGATGTTTTTGTATGAGAGGAAAAAAGGGGTCTCTATTGTGTGTGTATTGATCTAGACTGTATCTTTGTTGTTGTTGTTTGTGAGCAGTAATAGAATGAAAAGAAATAAAGGGTCATTTTGATTGTGATGTTGCCTGAAGAAGCTTCAAGACATATTTTCAGACATCTCTCCATTCTCCATCTCTCCATTACTAATCAAATGTGTTATTCATTCTTATAAACTATGTGTGTTGTTTTAATTAGCTTACATTTGAAACATATTTTAGTTTCATTGGTTAAAATCAATAGGATTAGAGTAAATGCTAAGAGTGTCATTCTAAAACTGTGGAAATCAGATTCTGTTCCTAAAGACATGGTTAACTTATCTCACTCAAATATTGCACAGAGTCCCTTATGGAGTTATTGATAATCTTGCAAAGTTTTACAATATATGGCAACCATTTCTTGATCACCTGGACAGAAATATTATGGATTCTGAGCAATTAATGCTTAATGTGCTCATTACCCCTATTGACTGTCTCTTTGTATTTTCATTGAAACCGTTTATATGCCCTAATTGTTTTTTAATAATAACTTAATTTTTCAAAATTATTTATTAGTATCTTTTCCTTTATTTTATTTATTATAACCATTATTTTCTTTGTATTATCATGCTTATTCCTTGTATTTTTTATTGTTGTTGTGTTGTTTGGTAATTATTGAAAAATGTAAAACTAATAAAAACTAAATAATAATAATAATAAATCCTTAAAGTATATAGCGGTTTACACATTTTTGGGGGAATCTCCTCAACCAGCACCAGTGTGCAGCACATGGATGGCGCAACGGCAGCCATATTACGCCAGACCGCACACCAAACACCAGCTGATTGGTTGAGAGATGAGAGTTATGAAGCCAATATGATATAGGGATGGTTAGGAGGCCATTATGGACAAATGCCAGTAGGCAAATTTGGCCAGGATGCCGGGGTTAAACCCCTACTCTTTTAAATCCTGCGATTTTTGATGACCACAGATAGTCCAACGCTATCTCACGGCAATTCGTAACTTTTTGATTTAGTGGCTTATTCGTATAAATTCCTACAATCTAATTCGTACAATTTAGTATGATTTGCTCATCACCCAGTGACAGTTGGGGTTAGGGGTGGGGTGGGTGCCACGCCTCCTTTTTAAAGTTGTACATTTTCGTACGACTGAACTTGTATGAATTCGAACGAATTAGCCACCAAACTGATAAAAAATAAAATACTTACATCTCGTGAGATTTGGATAGTCAGGACTTCAAATCCTTCAGGACTGCTCACTGAGCAGTATTGAATCCCCTTCACTATACTGCGGTGTTAGGACCCACAAAAACTGCAGATTGAGCACCCCCTGCTGGTCTCACTAACACCACTCCCGGCAGCAACTTAGCTTTCCCATGTGGTCTCCCATCCAGGTACTGACCAGGCACAGCACTGCTTTGCTTCAGTGGGCGACCAAACAACCAAAGTTAGTTCACACAATTAAAATGTTTTGAGACAACACAATTATAATAAAAAATGACAAAAAGGAGTGATATCCGCTTGTTAAGTAGTGATGAAATGCTGTTTCTGGGTTCAAGCTGCCACTCATTTGATATGAGAAAATATTCGTTTATAGATACTTTTTAGTCATATCACACATTAAAAGTGAATGTTATATGAAATAATAGTGTACACAACAGTATCTGAAATAATAGTGTACACAACAGTATCTGGACTTGCTGCATTACAGACAATATTTTAATAATTTATAAAAAAATTAATCACTTTCTGGCTATCGGATATTAGGCATGGATATAAACATTGCGATCGTGATTTTCGATAGACTTTCATCGCTTTGTAAACGTTTATTATTATTTGTTGAGTCTCCCCAAAGAGCGCTTGTACCCAGAAGCCACTTAGCGTGACATCACACTTAACCAGGGGAAAGTGGGAACTAGCTGATGAATAATTAAATGCTGACAATCAATCAGAAAGACCTTGAGCACTTAAAGTGGCAGGTGACACAACTCGAGTGTGCATGCATTAAAGAGGTATTAAATCTAAGATTCTAAACATTGAAGTAATTATTTTTAGCTGAAATTGTGGTCCTTGGTGATTCATAAATTGCCAGGCAATGGCTAGCAGCACTATGAGAGACAAAAAATCAAATTAAACCAAAACTAAATGAACACACGTAGCTCTAAGCCATGCATTGACAAATCATAAACAACAAAACTTAAAATTATTTCATTATTTACATTGTCAATCTAAATCTTGTCCCCCCCAATTTTTCAGTTTTGTGTGAACTGTCCCTTTAAGAGACAATATTTTGAGCTGGGGCTAATATCATAATATATAGTCATTCTCTATATAGTTATAATTTTAATGTGGGTGGGGCTTAAATTTTTGTTTTAGTGGAGCTTGTTCATTTCCCACAACTGGGTTGTCATCCGCTGTGTAAAACATATGCTAGATAAGTTGGCGGTTCAATCCGCTGTGGTGACCCCTGATTAATAAAGGGACTAAGCCGAAGGAAAATGAATGAATGAATGAATGGAGCTTGTTGATTTGTCTGTCATATTTTACAGTGTGTCAGATTTAAATTATTATTGTATTGTGTGTGTGTGTGTGTGTGTGTTTTCCACAGTCCTGGGACAAAGAATTGGCCAAAGGTGCGAGAGATCGAGCGAGACATTGCAAGGGCTCTCATTATCCTAGTCTGGGACATTTCGGGCACCCTCTGTTCGGGTGGATGGGTGAGAACATCTGGCTGGGGTCTCCGTTTTCAGCCTTCTCAGTGGAGAACGCCGTACACCGATGGAGCAAAGAAGGAGCATATTCAGTCAAAAATAACAACTGCTCGAGGCTGTGCGGACACTACGCACAGGTATCTTTATATCTTCATATATTTCAGCATTAAAATCCAAGCTTTCTTTATTAATCTTGTGTTTGCGCAAATGTTTTAGTTAATGTGGTCTACAAGCTTCAAGATGGGCTGTGCAGTAAATGTGTGCTCCAAAGGAATCGAAAACTTCTCCACCCACCCGGAGTCCACTATTTTTGTGTGCAACTATGGCGATACGTAAGTTTGACATCATAATTTGTCTTCGCCAGTCAAGCTACGTGTGGACATACAATACAACAAAATGTTGTCTTGCAGGACCATCGTGCTGCATAAACATAATCTTAACTATGAAAAACACTGGACGTAAGAGCCATTTTAAACCTATGTAGTTTTAGTTTAAATCTACGCTCACCGGCCACATTATTAGGTACACCTCAGCCAATCACATGGCAGTAACTCATCTGCATTTATTCATCTGCTGCAGTTTAAAGCGAGCATCAGAATGGGGAAGAAAGGTGGTATAAGTGGCTTTGAGCAAGGCATGGTTGTTGGTGCCAGACGAGCTGGTCTGAGTATTTCAGAAACTGCTGATCTACTGGGATTTTCATGCACAACCATCTAGGGTTTACAGAGAATGGTCTAAAACAGGGGTTCCCAAACTTTTCAGCCCGCGACCCCCAAAATAACAATGTCAGTGACTCGCGACCCCCATTTTTCAAAGTGGTTATACTGTAAATATATATAAACGTTGCAGACACAACTATAGGCCCACATGAACATGAGCATATTGACAACACATAAATGCAACATATAAGGTTTTTTTTAATCATTTATTAATTTAATTACATTTTAATATAAATATTAAAAGCTGATGGCTGATTTTTGTTTGTATGTTGTTGTTTCTTTAACACAACTATTAATCTTCTGTGGGTTATGAATAAAATATGACAATTCAAATAGTTGAATAAAATGTATTTAAATTTTGGAAATCACCAAGCGACCCCTTGTCATTGTCCCGCAACCCCCCAGGGGGTCCCGACCCCCACTTTGAGAACCACTGGTCTAAAAGAAAAATCCAGTGAGCGGCAGATCTGTGTGGGCACAAATGCCTTGTTGATCCCAGAGGTCAGAGGAGAATGGCCAGACTGGTTTGAGCTGATAGAAAGACAACAGTGACTCAAATAATCACTCGCTACAACTGAGGTGTATGCAGAAGAGCGTCTCTGAATGCACAACACGTACATAACTAACACACTGCGTCGTGTGATCGGTGTGACCCACGGCACTTGCAAATTTATACTTCTGCACGCTGTGTCTGTTGCTGTGCTATAACACTTTCGAAACGCTTGTTGGCAGTGAAATGTTTATGTTCCTCTGTGTCGAGTTTCTTCGTTGGTGTTTTGTTTTTTCTGAACGCTTCCTTAATGTACAAGGGGTTCAAACTTGCTTATTTTAAGGCAGGAACCGGCGGACGTTCAGCAACTTTAACCATGAGGTAAATACAAAACAAAACTTTCCATCCAGAGCTCCTTCACGGGACACTTGTAAACAATCGCTCCATCGGGTTCACACAGCTCTCGGTCACGCCCACACTAATCAGCGCTACCAAGCCGACCAATCACAGAGCTTGCGCTACACGTCATTGCGATGTGTAGTTATATTTTTTTGAGAGGTGTGCATCAGCGACGCAGACGCCCACGACAAAGGATATGCTTCCACGCGTAGGCCGCGCCGTAGCATAAGCGTGCGTTTGACGCAGAACTATAAATTAACCTTTATCCAGCACATGTTTACCGCAACGGATGCTCTTCCAGCTGCAACCCATCACTGGGAAACATCCATACACACTCATACACGACGGACAATTTTAGCTAACCAAATTCACCTATACTACATATCTTTGCACTGTGAGGGAAAGCAAAGCACCTGGAGGAAACCCACTCCAGCATGAGGAGAACATGCAAACTCCACACAGAAATGCCAAGTGACCCAACCAAGGCTTGAACCAGCGACCTTCTTGCTGTGAGGCGATTGTGCTACTCACTGCGCCACCGTGACGCCCCATAATAATTAAAGTTATACTTATTTAAAATATTTATTTCTATATTTACCTATTTAAAAACACAAGCCAATAAAATAACTATATTTAATTGACAGTAAAATTAGCAAATGAGAGGCGACATTTTACCAGTGATAGCACAATAGAGTTATTGCAACAGCAGGAACAATTATACTGCATAGGAATGTCCTGTGAGCGTGTTATTTGAGCAAACTTTGCTTTTCTGGTGAGCATGTGCGGTTCATGCATAGATAAGTATACAAGTGCATGAGCTACATGACACATACACAAGCTATTTGGCGATATACTCTGCTGCTGTTATACTCTGCTGCACCAATCAGCCCTTGCACTCTGCAAGCCATTGAAATTAATGGGATTCACAGCGCAGTGCTTTCCTTGTCCTGTGTGAAAGCCACTCCAGCACATATAGTGACTATGGCTGGAGGGAGAGTCAAACCAGCATAGCCTTTTTTTGGCCATTTTTTCTTTCAGTCATACCATTTTCAGGCACACAGTGGCTCAGCGGTTAGCACTGTCGCCTTACAGCAAGAAGGTCGCTGTTTCGAGTGCTCACTGGGCCAGTTGGTGTTTCTGTGTGGAGTTTGCATGTTCTCCTAGTGTTGGTGTGGGATTCCTCTGGGTGCTCAGGTTTCCCCCACAGTCCAAAGACATGTGCTATAGAGGAATTGGGTCAACTAAATTGGCCGTAGTGTATGAGTGAGTGTGAATGAGTGTGTATGGGTGTTTCCCAGTACTGGGTTGCAGCTGGAAGGGCATCCGCTGAGTAAAACATATGCTGAAATAGTTGGTGGCTTATTCTGCAGTGGTGACCACTGAAATAGAGACTATTCCAAAGGAAAATGAATGAATAACATTTCCGCTTATAATTTTCAGCATTTGAAAAATCGGTGCATCCCTAATCTATATAGTACAAACATGTGCCTTATGTTTCTCAACCACGTTCCTGGAGGACCACCAGCTCTACACATTTCCCATGTCTCCTTTACCAAAACATCTGATTCAGATCATCGGCTCATTAACAGAGACTGAAAGACCTGTAATTGGTATAACAGACAAAGGAGACATCCAAACATGCAGTATGTAACATGCAGTGGTCCTCCAGAAATATGGATGAGAAACACTGCCTTATGGTATTTTCAAAAGTGCTCCTTTAATGAACTTGTGTGAACCTGTTAGGTACAAACGTGTCTTTTGAAAAAGCAGCACCACATCACCTTTATTTCTGAAAGGTTTTAAATATAGACCTGTTGTGAGCTCAGAGGACATTAACAGATTGCAATGCTTCATGGGATTGTAGTTCTTCATTTATTAATTAATTATTTGTTAATTACAGTGTTGTGGTTACTCCTTTTTCTCAGATTTCCCACACTTGTTTGATTCTAATAAAAATTGTAGTGTTGTAATTCTCCTTGTAGTAGGATGACAATTTGACATGCACTAATGTAATCTGAGAAAGCGAAACAGAGTAAGTCTTTACTGACTTAAAATTGTTATTCTGAATATTATTGGCACACATTCCCCTTACACTGCACTGATGTAATGAAGTAGAGGTCAGGATATGTCTCTGTCTGCCTCTTGTGGTCAAGTCTAATATTGTTATTCAAACATGCTGTTTCAGAGGACAAGTTCATGGTGTAACTCCATATATGGCAATGGGCTGCAGTGGATGTGGATCAGAGATCTGCAGAGACAACGTTTGTAGTAAGAGCATTTCCAGTAAACATCACATTCAGACCTTACGTGTGAGTGTGTGTCTGTCTATCTGTCTGTCTGTCTGTCTATCTATCTATCTATCTATCTATCTATCTATCTATCTATCTATCTATCTATCTATCTATCTATCTATCTATCTATCTATCTATCTATCTATCTATCTATCTATCTATCTATCTTTCTATCTGTCTGTCTGTCTGTCTGTCTATCTATCTAACCATTAATCCATCTATCTTACCATCCATCCATCCAAAACACCCACCCACCCATCCAACCCATCCATCCATCCATCCATCCATCCATCCATCCATCCATCCATCCTTATATCTATCCATCTAACCATCCATCCTTTAACTATCCATCCATCCTTTTATCTATCCATCTAACATTCATCCATCTAACCATCCATCTATCTATCTATCATCCATCCTTTTATCTATCCATCTAACCATCCATCCATCTAGCCATCTATCTATCTATACATCTGTCCGTTTGTCTATCTACCAATCTATCAATCTAACATCCATCCATCCTTTTATCCATCCATCTAACCATCCATCTGTCTAACCATCCATCTATCCATTCATCCATCCATCCATCCATCCATCCATCCACCTATCTATCCATCCATCCATCCTTTTATCTATCCATCTAACCATCCATCAGTCTAACCATCTATCTATTCATTCATCTATCTATCCATCTGTCCGTCTGTCTGTCTATCTACCAATCTATCCATCTAACCATCCATCCATCCTTTTATCTATCCATCTAACCATCCATCCATCCTTTTATCTATCCACCTAACCATCCATCCATCCTTTTATCTATCCACCTAACCATCCATCCGTCTAACCATCTATCTAACCATCTATCTATCTATCTATCTATCTATCTATCTATCTATCTATCTATCTATCTATCTATCTATCTATCTATCTATCTATCTATCTATCTATCTATCTATCTATCTATCTATCTATCTATCTATCTATCTATCTATCTATCTATCTATCTATCTTGTTTTTACTAGTTTTGTTTATAGTTTTTACTGTTTTTACTAGTTTTAAACGTTTATTTTATTGAAATGTATTTTTTGTATTTAGTGTTATAGAATCATTTTTAGACTCAAACTAAATGAGCAATATAAACATTTATTTGTATATAATCCATTTTATTTTAAATTAATAACAAGTCATTTTGTTTTAATTTTTTTTATACTTTTATAAAAATGTCTACAGTTTTTTATTTTACTTTAAGTCTTAATAAATCAAGCTTAACTAAATTGAGAGACATTTTTATATATTGTATTTTATTTAACATTTAGGTTTTTTTAAATAACAACATTGTATAGTTTAACTTATCTAAACTAACCCTGCTGTGATCACTAAAATATAATCACACATTTTTAAAATATATATAAATATCATTCCATTATTTGCATATTTATATCCACGTTTCCCAGTATGACGTCTTCTGAACCTACATCTTGCTCACATATGCTGTAACATCTCTCTTTACAGGATATGATTGGTTCCCTGGCTGGGATTATGGTCCGCCCTCTTCAGCCCACAGTGTTTCTTATTGGCAGACTAATCTTGGACTGTGCCTACTAGGAGTTTGCTGGCTACTGCACTTTTATGCAACACATTAATGTCAGTCTGTGAACCTGTTACACAACATCTTTAAATCTCCCCATCATGTCTATTCATATTCAAATATTATTCACTATTAATAATCAACATGATATGAAGAAATCTATTTATAACTTTAAAAGAAAAAAAAGGATATACAGCTAGGAAAAAAAATAAAAGGCTACTTAAAAATTCTCAGTTTCTCTGGATTCACTGAATCAATTAGGTGTGGGTTTGATTAAAAAAATGTTTTATTTCAAAAAGGTTTTATAATGTCTGAATAAAAGGTTCTTTAATGTCCCGATTTCAAATACAAATACTGTCTATTAAAGCTCTATTTTTGCAGAAAATGGTCAAGATGACACTTTTTTGTAAATTGTTGTGTGTGAAAACGATTTATTCCAGCAAATATTGATTTCTTAAGTCATCTTAAGTTAAATTATTGGTATTGTGTTGTCTTAAAATAATAAACCTGTCTGAAAACACAGCATCTTTTCTATCTAATCCTGATTTTCAAATACAACAAATCCAAATCCATTCCAAAATTGTTATCAGACCATTACTGGGTAAAATAAATATTGACAATCTACTCAAATTCATTCATATTAAGTCCAGGAATCTAAAGAAACTGAGAATTAAGGTGGTGTTTTTCCTGTGGCTGTGTATATAGTGTTCATATAAGTTCCCTTTCTGCTGTGTGTAAATCATTTATTTTATTTGCCATATACACAGTAGCTCTGTAAATGAATTTGATTAGAAGAAAAAGTTATGTTTGATTTCATGAAAGTGCTAGTTGAATAAACTCGGGTTGATATTTTATACTATCACTGGTTGCCTTGTGTGATTTTTCCTATAAAAAATGACAGAAAACATGATTATATCAGCAAATATTAATTTCCTAAAGAGAAAACTGAAAACTCTGTCATCATTTACTTACCGCCTTTTCACAAACCTGTTTGAGTTTCTTTTTTCTGTTGAGCACAAAAGAAGATATTTTGAAGAATGTTCAAATCTGGTAACACTGGCTTCCAAAACATGGTTTTGTTTAAAAAAAAACAAATAATTTGTTATTTCTTCCTATTTTAAAACAAAACATTGTCATTTATTGCAATGTTGAATAAACCCATGTGGATATTTCATACTCTTCCCAATTGTCTTGAATAGTTTTATAATCTAGAGCACACTGATGAACACTGCCATTTACTTTCTCTATATCCCGTCTCAGGATTGGATTGGCCCAGAGAATATCAAAACACTCTTTTTTGTATTTTTAACATTTAATTTGGCAACACAAAAAAATGTGCGTAACTGACCATTTTTAGGTAGACAAATAGAAAATAAATTATTATTCAATTGTTTTAAATCTACTATTTCAATCTGTTATACTACCTGTGACAACTGTGACCGTTTAAAGATTTCCACCTCTTTTATCCTCCCTTCAAATAATTTTGTGTATAAAAGGTGTCAATTTTAAGAAGAAAAAAGATATATGAATGATCTGAAATTAGCTTTGCATTGATGCTTGTTTGTTAGGATTACGACAATATTTGACTGAGAAATGACTATCGAGAACATGATGTTTACTTAATCTGGCATAAAAGAAAAACCTATCCATTTTGACCAATTCAATGTATTTTTGTCTATTGCCAAAAATATACTTGTACAACACAAGACGTTTTTGTCTTCCAGGGTTACAACAAGCTTTGTTTTAACCAAGAAATCTATTAGATGCTTTCTGGTTCCCAACTAGATGTCTAATCTGGGGTGCGTTTCCCAAACAACGACGTAACTCGCTGTTGAACTATGATAGTGTGATGCATCGTTTGGGAAAAGAATAATGTAGTGACGAGTGTTTCCCAAAACCCGTAGTTTCTCTGTCGCAGATCTATCGTTTGAACCACATTAGTTATCCTGTAAAACCCCCAAAATGGTGCTCTAAACGGGGTGGAGTAACAACTTCTTTAGAGACGAAGCCCATCATTTCTTTGTGCAAATTATATTATTTTACATGCTCTAAAAAAATTCAATATTAGTTTTGGCAAAAACATGCACTTGTTTTCCATATTAATTGAAATATATTTAAATGGCACATATAGGGCCAATGTTTGCTTTACAAATATTATTGAGAACATTACATACTCTATTCTGAAGTGACATAAAATTACTTACAAAAGCTAACACATATTTTAATCTCATTTATAAATCATTTAAACAAATAAATAAATAATGAGGCTATTTTTTCAGAAATTTTATTTAATATTTATTATTTATTAGAAAATGAAAAAAATACTACTTTAATAATAACATTAATGATAATGATTATTATTAATATTATTGAGTATGGTATTGTTTATTTGTTTTTTATTTTTTGAAAAGTCAGTTTGACACATGCAAACCACTGCAGAAATGTACTAATATTAATAATATATATATATATATATATATATATATATATATATATATATATATATATATATATATATATATATATATATATATATATATATTAATACATTTTATATATATTAATAGATAAACTACTATAAATTAAAAGCATTATCATATGCTATGTTTTTTTGTATTCACAAGCTTTGGAGACGTAACATAAATTCCGCTTTTAAATAATAGGTCACCTATAGCTTTTGTCGTGAGGTTGTGTTCAAAATGACATCAATGTTTTCGAAGTGCACTGCCAATGGAGCACAATTGTAGACATGAAGATCGCTAAAACTGAACTGTAAAAATACTTTGAAAGCAAATTACACCTCAGAGAGATGACCTTAATGCTTATATTTTTTAATAATTCCAAGTTTAAATGTTGGAATGTTCTAAATGAATGGGGCATAGGGGGATAACTGGGAATAGAACACAGCCAGGAACTATGTTTCTAACTACAGCTCCAGAGGTGTAGTTGCAAGCATAGAAGTTTGGGATGCAGTTTGCGAATGTTCGTTGAAACGACGGATTTGGGAAATGGCAAATCAACAAACTATGTTTGTAATGACACAACTTGTGATCTTGGTTGGTGAACCCCAGGTCATGTGACCATCTTCTTTTTTGTCATCTTTTTTTTTCATAAAAATGTTACATTTTTTACTCAAAGCCAACAATAACACCTTTAGCGCTTCAGGGAAAAAAGAAAAAAGAAAAAAAAAACAGAATTAAACATGTTAATTTTCCAAGAGAAAAAAGGGCAGGACAAATCACATTGATTGACATTATCCCTTCATCAGAGTGTGCCCCGCCCACTAGTGACAATCTCTCTCTCAATAGCACAGGACGTTATTGTTGTTATTGAATATGCTATTATGCAAACACATAGGCATCTGTAGCCCCGCCCTCTTTTAAAAAGAGTACAATCTCATTTAAGTTTAAAGCGACAGTCACCAAAGCAGCACAATTAGGATCAAAGCCTAAATAGGGCAGTTTCAAATATTATTTGTGTGGTATTTTGAGCTGAAACTTTACACTCTAGGGACATTTTTTCCTAAATCTTATAAAAAGAGGCATAATAGCTCCCCTTTTAATGTTTTCATGTGCTGGGAAGAATTCGTATAAGGGTAAAAAAAAAAAATGTACGCTGTAAAAAATGCTGGGTTCAACACAATCCCCTCATTCATTTTCTTGTCGGCTTAGTCGCTTTAATTATCTGGGGTTACCACAGCGGAATGAACCGCCAACTTATCCAGCACATTTTTAAGCAGCGGATGCCCTTTCAGCCACAACCCATCTCTGGGAAACAATCCCTTCATGTCACCCCAATAACTTAAAAATGTATTAAGTTAACTTGAACATAGTTGATTGAACATTAAACAATTAAGTTGTTCCTAAGAAAACCTCAAGAATTGTGTTGTTTCAGATCATATTAAATATGCAGCAGAATTATTTTTTTGAGTGTAGCTCTGTCGATCATTTACACATAAGCCATTTATGAGAAACAGGTAAGTGTGTTTGGATATCGCCATGAGCATTGTCAGTTCATAAAGCAGAATCGGGATGAACGTATGTAAATGCACTCGGCATGGCCCTTCAGTGTAATAAAGTGTGTTACAACCTGCGAGGACTGAGAGCAGAGCTGTGAAAAAACCACATCAGTTCAGCTGCGTAGTCACGACACGTTCCGGATGATTTTACCGTCGCCATGGAAACAGGTGTACGTATAGAACACTGTAGGCTGCGAGTGAGAACAGCTCTGAGTCACGAGTTATGAATTATGTTTTCAAGTAGTTTGTTTATTTTTGTGAGTAATCAATCAGCGGTGCTCTATTAGTGCACGGGTAATGTGTCATTGACGGTTTGATTTTTTTTTTAGGATGTCCACACACCTAGGTTAATGACTAATAATGAGGGACGAAATGAATCAAGTTTAAAATGCATTAGTCAGGATCTTATAAATGTCTTCTTGTTGCCATCTTATATTTCTGAGTACAAATTGCCATTAAAAATATTTGACTGTAGTATGTGAGTCAACGTTAAGGCGTAACATTTTAGTGTGGTAAATTAAATGTAGAAAATTGATTTTTCTATACAAAGAAGATATATTACATTCAAGTGTATGCCTAAATGTTTATAATAATAAAAATGTTGAAATATCCCTTTAACTGCCTGCTCTAAAACCATATTTTGACTGTTTTAAATAATGACTGTTTAAGTTGTTTAAAGATTGACTGCTTTGAATAATTGTTTACTCTACACAGCATTGTTGGTTTACAAAAAAAAAAAAAAAACAATCCTGTTGCACTTCTACACTTGATTTTAGTTTTCATTCATTCATTTTCTTGTCGGCTTAGTCCCTTTATTAATCCGGGGTCGCTACAGCGGAATGAACCGCCAACTTATCCAGCACATGTTTTATGCAGCGGATGCCCTTCCAGCCGCAACCCAACCCAACTTAGTTTACTCAATTCTTCTATAGCACATGTCTTTGGACTGTAGGGGGAAACCGGAACACCCGGAGGAAACCCTCGCCAACACGGGGAGAACATGCAAACTCCACACAGAAATGCCAACTGACCGGCCAGGGCTCGAACCAGCGACCTTCTTGCTGTGAGGTGATTGTGCTACCCACTGCGCTTGCCAAAATATGTTTTAGGTGTAAATTAAATTAACCTAATAACGATAGCTTTAATTTCAGAAAATATTTTTAGGCCACAAGTGACAAAGTCCAGAAGAACTGCATTCAATTTGGCCAACTATTCCAGCATATGTTATATGCAGCGTATGCCCCCCAGCTGCAACCCAGTACTAGAAAACACCTATATATGCACATTCACTGACACACTCATACACACTGGTCAAATTAGTCAATCCAATTCACCTATAGCGCATGTCTTTGGACTTGAGGGGAAAACCGGAGCACCCAGAGGAAACCCACGCCAACACTGGGAGAACATGCAAACTCCACACAGAAATGACAACTGACCGGCCAGGGCTCGAACCAGTGACCTTCTTGCTGTGAGGGGATTGTGCTACCCACTGCGCTTGCCAAAATATATATTAAGTGTAAATTAAATTAACCTAATAACGCTAGCTTTAATTTCAGAAAATATTTTTTGGCCACAAGTGACAAAGTCCAGAAAGACTGCATTCAATTTGGCCAACTATTCCAGCATATGTTATACGCAGCGGATGCACCTCCAGCCGCAACATAGTACTGGAAAACACCTATATATATATATGTATGCACATTCACTGACACACTCATACACACTGGTCAAATTAGTTAATCCAATTCACCTATAGCGCATGTCTTTGGACTTGAGGGGAAAACCAGAGCACCCAGAGGAAACCCACGCCAACACTGGGAGAATATGCAAACTCCACACAGAAATGACAGCTGGCCCAGCCGGGACTTGAACCAGTGACCCTGACCCTCTTGCTTTGAGGCGACAGTACTCACCACTGAGCCACCGTGCCGCCCTGTATTCAAATCACTCTCTGTAAAAACAACATCTTGTTTTTGTTTTACTTCTGGGGTAATGATTAAACAAGAACAGTGTCTGAGTTACAAAGTATAAAGAAGTCAGAGCGAGTCTAATGTTAATAAATCACTGAAGCAGCAAGACTGACTAAAAATAAGGCCAGAATGGACGACAATCATAGCTGAAGTGCTTGTGACTGATCTCCTGAAATGTAAGTTAATAACCCAAAACTGAATTATTGTCTGTCAGATGTTTGTGAACTACAGTATATCTGCTGTTATAGATTTAGCAGTTTGAATGATTAAATGTGGAAATATTCACATTTGTCTAAAGCATTTGATTCTAAAAGTTGTATTAGTTAATGTATTTACTAACATGAACAAACAATGAACAATACATCTATTACAGTATTTATTCATGTTAGTTTACATTATTTAATGAAAAAGAAGTCGTTGATTGTTAGTTCATAGTAACTCACAGTGCATTAACAAATGTTAACAAGCATGAATTTGGATTTTAATAATCTAGTAGTGAATGTTGAGCTAAGATTAATAAATGCGGTACAAGTTTTGTTTGTTATTAGTTCATTTTAGTCAATGTATTAACTTATGAATACTTATTGTAAAAAGCCTGACCTGACTTATTTGATTTTTACAATCTACAATGTTTTTTTTTTCTTGAACACTTTGAATGATCATTTATTATCTGTGGTAAGAAATGTTAATCAATAATAATTGTGCTTTGTGCTTTTGCTCAAGTAAAACAGAAATTGAGTACTTCATAATTATACTTAGTATCTTTTGTTAGGGCATCTATATACAGTTGAAGACAGAATTATTAGCCACCCTGAATTATTAGCCTCCCTTTTTATTTTTTCCCCCGATTTCTGTTTAACGTAGAGAAGATTTTTTCAACACATTTATTAACATAATAGTTTTAATAACTCATCTCTAATAACTGATTTATTTTATCTTTGCCATGATGACAGTAAATAAATAATATTTGACTAGATATTTTTCAAGACACTTCTATACAGCTTAAAGTCACATTTAAAGGCTTGATTAGGTTAATGAGGCAGGTTAGGGTAATTAGGCAAGTTATTGTACAACAATGGTTTGTTCTGTAGACTATCGGGACAAAATACAGCTTAAAGGGGTTAATAATTTTGACCCTAAAATGGTTTTTAAACAAATTAAAAACTTCTTTTATTCTAGCCGAAATAAAACAAATCAGACTTTCTCCAGAAGAAAAACTATTATCAGACATACTGTAAGCATTTCCAGAATCAAACATCCAGATCATCAAAACAATCAAACAATTCAAAACATCAGTTGAAAACTATTTAAAGAAGAAAAGGGGGGCTAAAAATTCGAGAGGGTGCTCGCTGCAGAGCCATTTGAGGAGAGCTGAGCTCCAGCGAGGGGGAGCATGAGCTGTCGCTCCTCCTCCTGTAAGCTGTTTTAATGCGTACACCAACCCCACCCCTAACCCTACCCCCAGTGACATCACTCGTAGAAGAAGTGCAAAAAAGGTGGAGCTCAAGCTTAAGCTCCCCCTCGCTGGAGCTCAGCTCTCCCCAAATGGCTCTGCAGCGAGCACCACTTGAAAAATTCTGACTTCAACTATTTATGCAAGTACTTGATTTGAGTCCTTCGGACAAGAGCTTAAAGCAGCAAAAATGAACAATTAAAAGTCTGTCATCCTCCAATTTGAAACCTGTTATAGTTTCTTTCTTCTGTTAGACACAAAAATAGATATTTTGAAGAATGAACTTCTACTGACTTCCAAAGTATTTTTGATCCTACTATAGATGTCAATGGCTGCTTTTCCCCTGAACATTCTTCAGAATATCTTGTTTTGCGTTCAACGGAAAAATCAAAAAATGAATTTTGCTGCTATTTAATATTTATTATTTAATATTTAGCTATTTAATAAAGATGAAGTTTTTTAGGGGGTGGGGAAGGCAACTTAATTGTTTTATGTTCAATCGACTTAAATTTGACAAATCGATTAAGTTAAATTAATCAATTTGTGTTGATTAATACAAGTTAATTAATTGTGTGGGACCCAGCATTTTATCACAGTGAAGAAAGAAATTCATACAAACATCTAGAACCACTTGAGTGTGAGCAAATGATGAGGAAATGTTGATTTTTGGGTGAACTACCCCTTTAAAAAGAATCTAAATCCAAGTTACTGAGTAAAACAAGCACAAATACATTGAAGTACATATAAATATCTATTTGTAAGTATATGTGATGCTGTTGTTTAAAAATAGACAAAACATTGGCTTTGACCTGTGCATTTGCCGTTTCCTGAACTCTCCCTGTAATCTGATTTATTTCACAAAAGCTTCAGTGTGCGAGAGAGACTGAAGGAAACGTTTGGGAATGTGGGTCAGTCTAACTCATTGATGTCACATGAAACTCAACAGTCGGATTCCTCTACATGCAACTCACGACAAACGCCAACTGTGGATTTTTACAGCATTCTGCGTGTGGATTTTTAGGCATCTGAAATTCCTCTGATGAAGTGAGTGGAACTATTAAACTATTCTGATTGGATATATAGAGTCATTATGGGTTCATCTTGTACAACTTCGATATTACTTGCACTGCTTTCAATGACGGTGGTTTTAAATGGAAGAGAAGAGCGTAAACCACAACAAAAAAGCTTTAATGTAGACACTGAGTATCGGACAATGATGTTCAACATCCCAAACATTGAACATAATAGAAAACACGAGATCGCATTGGATGACACATTTCTAGAAGAGTCTTTAAACTTAATCAAGAGTCTTGAGTTTTATGGTAATGCTGATGATACTGGTTTGGTTGAATCCACGCCTGATTCAACAAATATTGTACACAAGGATCCTGAGATTGATATTACTGTGCATGATGCTGCAAATAAAGCAGAAAGTATATTGAATTCATTGAATAATACCTCCTCTGATGGTCTGGAGGACGGCTCTGGTGCAGATCCAGTGGTTGTCACACTTCTAGGCCGAGTTCGTGGTCTGACTTTGGAAAAAGCTCATGTGTTTTATGGGATCCCGTATGCTGATCCTCCTGTGGGAGACAAGCGCTGGGCTCCTCCTTCGCCAGTTTCACCTTGGTTGTACACCTACAATGCAACGTTTCCCCGTCCTGCGTGTATGCAGATGTGTGCCGGTGAGTTCTCTCGGCTGTGTCCTCCTGAGGTATGCAAAATTTCAATTATGACACATTTTTTAAAGCCAGTCACTAACTAAAACACTGTTTTTTTAGACTTTAGGCAAATCACACAGTAAATGGGTAATTCTTCAACTACGGGCACTTTTTGTCCTTTGATCATATAAAAAAATATATAGATAATTTTGTTCAAATTCCTCTTTCTTTGTCAAACTAACAATAAAACCTACTTTCAAAAATGTACTAGCTTTCCATTGTATTTTTTTTCTTATATTCAACCTCCTTTTAGGTGTCAAAATCACTGTTTTCACCTTGTCACATACCCAGAGTTTTAAACTATAACAATGAAAATAACATTTTAAAATATTATTTATCTGGTATATATTAATGTATCTTAATGAAGCACTAGTGAAATTATTTAAATATTCAATTCAATTCAATTCAATTCAGCTTTATTTGTATAGCGCTTTTACAATGTAGATTGTGTCAAAGCAGCTTCACATAAATGGTCATAGTAACTGGAACAGTGTGGTTCAGGTTTTAGTGTTTAAGTTCAGTTCAGTTCAGTTTAGCTCAGTTCAGTGTGATTTAATCATTACTGAGAGTTCAAACACTGAAGAGCCAATTCATCGATGCGTAGCTCTACCAATCCTGAACCTTGCGAGCCAGTGGCGACAGCGGAGAGGGAAAAAAAACTTCACCTGATGGGAGTGAAGAAAAAAAACCTTGAGAGAACCAGACTCAGTTGGGCACAACCATTTTAATTTCTCCGCTGGCCAAAAGTCTTGTGCAGAGCTTCATTCGTCGTGGTTTAGGCTTATAGTGATTAATGTGATACTATTATCAATATTATTTTTTATACAAAATATAGCTGTCGCACAGAATCAGTGTCATTTCCACCACAACACTGTAATGTCGCTTTAAAAAATTTGTGTGAAAAATTATTTAGGTGGTTTATATGAAAATGAATAGTGCCATCTGAGAACATGTTCAAGATGGAGGAAATTTAACTTTTTATCAACAACACTTGAAGAAAAATCAAGATAAATATTGCTTGATAAGGAAATACATTTATTCTACGTCATTTCCAAACATGTTGTACCTTTAAAGATGTTTTTAAACACCAAACAAAATTAAGTTGAATAAGAGGCTTTTGTATACATGAAAGGCTAGAATCAATTCAAAGCTAATCAGTGAAGCTTTTTAATTTTTTTCACAATAAACTGTTTAAATGTCATTTCCACCACCACACACGTTTTTAAAAATATTTGAAAAGTTCTCATCACATATTAAAAGTGTATTCACAATGTGTAAGTTCATGCTCTATTTAATATACAAATTCATTCATTTTCTTGTCGGCTTAGTCCCTTTATTAATCCGGGGTCGCTACAGCGGAATGAACCGCCAACTTATCCAGCAAGTTTTTACGCAGCGGATGCCCTTCCAGCCGCAACCCATCTCTGGGAAAAATATACAAATTCAGTTTATTTATTTTCTAATAAACTCTTAACCATATTCATATTAAATTTTAGAGTGCACAGGTGTACAATTCAGCATTCAACTAATTTATTTCATTTACAAATGTAGAATTATTAAATATATTGTGGAAAGATTGGTTAAACTAGATACAAAAATGATCTTAGGTAAAGTTTGACTGCCATAATTTATTTCAGTTTGAAATAAGCTGTATATCGAGATGTGGTGGAATTGACATTTGTTCAGTTCAAGGTGGAAAAAATGTTTGTCCTCTTACAGATCTTAAAACTAGACAAATTGTTTAAACTTATGAGGCTATGTTACGTTAATTTTGAATATGTTTTTTTTTTAACTTAACTTCACAAGGCTAAAAGTGCCCATAGTTGAAGAATGGCCCATATATCAAATACATACAGATGAAGACAAAATAATTAGATCTGCTCTGAATCATTTAAATTCTTCTTCAAATATTTCCCAAATAATTATTAACAGAGCAAGGAATTTTTTACAGTATTTCCAATAATATTTTTCCTCTAGAGAAAGTCTTATTAGTTTTAAAGCAGTTTTTTTTATTTTTTAAAACCATTTTAAGGACAAAATTATTAGCCCCTTAAGCATTTTTTGATAGTCTACAGAACAAACCACTGACTTGCCTAATTAATTACCCTAACTTACCTAATTAACCGAGTTAAGCCTTTAAATGTCACTTTAAGCTGAATATTCGTATCATGACAAATACTCAACCCAGGTCATCATGGCAAAAATAAAAGAAATCCGTTATTAGAAATGAGTTATTAAAACTAATATGATTAGAAATATGTTGAAAACATCTTCTCTGTTAAACAGATACTGGGGAAAAATAGACAGGGGGCTAATAATTCAGGAGGGCTAATTATTCTGACTTTAACAGTATTAAAACATATGTAGTGTTATAAATACTCATATGAAGGAGGATTTTACACTTAGAACAGATAACAACATGATAAGAATAACCACAAAGCTTCCAGGCAAGCAACAACGACATAGAATCTTAAATCTTAATTTATAAACATTTTGCACACCCTAGCAATGCACAATCAGAAAGATTTAAGTAACCACAAAGCAACACACTGTAACGTATCCAATACAACTCTAGCAACTACGTCACAATGTACACCAAGAACACTTTTACAACCACAAAGCAGAATCCAAACACCTACAGTACACTGCTGAAAATGCTTTCCTTAGATTTTTTTTGTCTTGTTTTTAGTCTAAATATCTAAAAATCCTCCAAGTAGCTTTTTTTAGATGAGCAACACATATTGTCTTGTTTTAAGAAATAATATGTCAAAATTAAGTGAGTTTTTCCTTAAAACAAGCAAAATAATCTTATGTCAAATGAAAAACAATATCATTTTGCTGACTCCATTGGCAGATTATTTTGCTTGTTTTAAGAAACAACTTGCTTGATTTTGGCATATTATTTCTCAAAACAAGACAGTATTTTTTGCTTGTCTAGAAACTGCTTCTTGATTGAAGAATTTACAGATACTTGGGCAAGAATCAAGACAAAATATCTAAGTGAGAAAAGCACTTTCTGCAGTGTATCAACACACGGGCAGTCAGAAAATGTTACCAACCACTAGCAACACCCTAGAATTACATCTAGAACATGCAACATAGCAACTCTCTACCAACCACACTACAACAGAACACTTAAGCAACCACACTTCAAACGCTACACATTAGAAACTGTGTGAAGCAAGGTTATAGTCACAACATGATAAGAAAACCAACATGTCACACACATTTACAGTACATTACTTTTTAGTCATTTAGTATAGCATTTTTCTCCAAAGTGACGTACAAATGAGGATGATAGAACATCAAGTCACCAGAGATCAGCAATCAGCAATATTTATATGCCATGAAAAGCCTATGGTGGTTCAGATTTAAAATGTATTATTATTAATAATATTTAGATATTTTCACATAGAATTATGAACACGAGCATATAATATTTGCCCTGGCAAAAACGTTTTACATTTTAGAAAATAAATCTCAAGAATATAATTTTTCATGTTTAGTGTATTATTATAGTATCAGTGGCTCAGTGGTTAGCTCTGTCGCCTCACAGCAAGAAGGTCGCTGTTTTGAGTCCCGGTCAGTTGACATTTCTGTGTGGAGTTTGCATGTTCTCCTCGTGTTCATTTGGGTTTGCTCTGGGTGCTCCGGTTTCCCCCACAATCCAAAGACATGCGCTACAGGTGAATTCAATTAACTAAATTGGCCGTAGTGTATGTGTGTGATTCAGTGTGTATGGGTGTTTACTGTTTACCAGTAATAGGTTGCAACTGGAAGGACATCTGCTGTGTAAAACATATGCTGGATAAGTTGGCGGTTCATTCCGCTGTGGAGACCCTTGATAAATGGCCACTAAGCCAAAGGAAAACAAATGAATGAATTATAATATTACTTTCTGGCATTGTACATACATTTTTAATGAAATCAATCACTGAATGTGACTCTGCATGTACACAGGTCAGCGAGGACTGCCTTTACCTAAATGTGTTTGTTCCTGTGAGTGTCAACCTGTCGCTGCCAAAAGTAACAGCACTACCAGTTATGGTGTGGATTCATGGCGGTGACTTCATCGCTGGCTCCGCCTCCAAACCTTTGTATGATGGCCGCTACATCAGTAACTACAGCAACACAGTGGTTGTGAACATGGAATATCGTCTCGGTTAGTCAAACACAACGGTGACCCTGGATCACAGAACCAGTCATAAGAGTACATTTTTCAGAAATTGAGATTCATACATTATATAAAATTTGAGTAAATTATCTTTCCGTTGATGTATTGTTTGCTAGGGCAGGACAATATTTGGCCAACATACAACAATCTGAATATCTGCGAACTGATGGTGCAAAAAAAAAATCTAAATACTGACAAAAATTGCTAGTAAAGTTGTCCAAATAAGCTCTTAACAATCCAAATTACTAATCAAAAACTTAGTTTTAATTTATTTACAGTAGGAAATGTACTTGGAACATGGTCTTTATTTAATGGTGCAGTGTGTAAGTTTGACACCCAGTGGTTGTACTAGGTACTGCACTTCTGATTCAAAACACATTTTCACTCAGCCCCTCCTCTGACGACTGCATGCCAGTACAGGTTGCCAGAATGACGACACCAACAGGAGCGTGCCTAAACTAAAAGCAACGACTTGCGAAATAAGGGATATTTTCCTATTTCCCTTTTTTAATAGTATTTTATATTAAAATCAGTTTTTGCCCTAACCAACATCTAAAATTGCTATTTTTTAAATGGCTTTGAATTCTCTCAGCTGAACAACAGTGACTAAACCCAAGTACAAACACCTCATGTACACCTCATGTGCTTTATTCAGTGTTAAATGCTAATAATGTGGGTTTGAATGCCATTTTACATGCCATTTACTGCCATACTACTGAAAGCAGCAGCAGATAGTTCACCTCAGATCTTGAAAACAACCATTTGTAATTGAACTTTAACTGTGACTCAGTGCAAGCCAACAAACTTTCAGCAATTATCAGTGATACAGCATGCACATTTATTAATGTTAAAGAGGTTTAATATGCATTAATTAGATTATAAGCCTTACTATTTCACTGGAGTGCAGTAAGTGCACTATTCTGTGCTTCTGAATGGCTGTATTTAAAGTTCTGTCATGCTGAATCTGTAGCAAACAACCAAATTGCTCATTGCTGCAAATGTTGTCCCGTAGCGTGTTGTTAGGACATTGTGGTACAAAGTAACTTGTTCATCTAATGTTTACATTTGTAAAATTTAAATGATTTCCTAATAAATAGCCACTTCATGAGGAAATCTGAATCTGCGTCTCATTTCGGAGGCTGTTACTGTCCACCGAAGTTCACATTTTTAATCACTAACGCACACTTTGAGAGTCTTCCTGACTAAATTAATGTAATATGTGGTTCCCTGCCAAGGCAACCAGGGGTGCTGAATATAATTGGCATTGGCGGGTTAAAGGTACCAAAACAAAGACAGATGTTCTGGCACGAAGCACACATTTTCAAAGCCAAATATCTGACTTCAGCATTGTTTTTCAGATAAACAAGAAAGTTCACTTGGCATGTTTCTTAAATATCTGCAAGCATATTATGATATTTTGTTCTTTAGAAGACTCAAAAACTTACATACAGCACCTTTTATATTCAAATCATTTTTGCAATGAAATAAAAATAGAAAATTTCACCTACTTTTCAGCTACTCGCACAAATATACTCATGCAATATAAGACTGGTTCTGCAATCCAGTTTCACAACTCAACTTTGCACAATGGTGTATTTCTGTGTATGATTTCTGAACGAGCATGTTGTTTTGGTCAATTTTAGGTGCTTTTGGCTTCTTAGTCACAGGAAAAGATCCTGAGAGCTCTGCAGTGGGGAATTATGGGATTCTAGACCAGCAGGCAGCATTGCATTGGGTCCAAGAAAACATTGCGGCTTTTGGAGGAGACCCAAATAAGGTACGAAGGAGCATGGGGGTGGATGAATGACGCCAGTGTGGACATCTAATTAGCGTACATTGATTTGCATGTGTGTGTAGGTTACTCTGTTTGGCGAGAGCGCAGGCGCCCAATCAGTGAGTCTCCATCTGATGATGCAGAGCAGCGAGACTTTGTTTAGACATGCAGCCATACAGAGTTTACCATTTTCACTGCCTCTGAAAACCAGGTAAAACATGGATTAATCACCCTTGTATTGACATTAACATCTTGCTTAAACAAATATAAAGCTAGACTATATAGTTTAAAAATACAGTAACTTCTGTATTTCAGAAGCAGGATTCAAGGGGCTGAGCACAAACCAGGCTAAATACAGAGCTAAATTTATATTAAATAATGGTTTGGCTTGACTTTTGCATCATTTGCACATACAGTTAAAGTCTTTCTCAAAGATTTCTTTTATCTTTGGCATGATGACAGTACATCATATTTTACTAGATATTTTTCAAGATACTAGTATTAAGCTTAAAGTGACATTTAAGAGCTTAACTAGGCGAGTTAGGGTAATTAGGCCAGTCATTGTATAATAATGGTTTGTTCTGTAAAATATTTACGGGGCTAATGATATTGACCTGAAAATAGTTTTAAAAATTAAAAACTGCTTTTTTTTCAAGCCAAAATAAAACAAATCAGCCTTTCTCCAGAAGACAAAATATTATCGGAAATACTGTGAACATTTCCAGAATCTGCTAAAACATCATTTGGGAAATATTTAAAAAAGAAACAGAAATGTACAGGAGGCCAAATCATTTTGAATTCAACTGTATATGATACCATAAACTCCTAGATTTCACTATGGTTTTGGAACAGAGATAGTATCATCCTGAGATAATGAGCGTAATAATGATAATGCTGATGATCGATGATGGTGTTTATTATTTTGTAGATGGGATGCTATGAAACTGGGCTGGGATTTTGCTAAGCTAACTAACTGCTCAGTATTTGATCTGCCCTGCATGCGCTCTCTCAGTTCAGAAGATGTACTCAATGCCCAGATCAAATCAGGTACATACACACATTCACATATATATATATATATATATATATATATATATATATATATATATATATATATATATATATATATATATATATATATATATATATATATATACATATACATACTATACATGAACTTTAGTTATTGTTCTTTAACCATTTAGCTATTTATTTATTTATTTATTTGGAATTTCAACATGTTTTAATCAGTGACAGGGCCAGTAATAAACAAAATATTATTTTTAAAGCAAACTTTTTTTTATGTTTTGGTCTTATCTGCTCACCAAGGCTACATTTGCTTGATTAAAACAGTAAATACTGAAATAACCCAGAATATTCTTAATTTAACATGACTTTTTATTTTACTTTGTTTTAAAATAGTAACTATTGCTGTGATAAACTGAATTAAAAAACAATTTGCTACTTCAGTCTTCAGTGTTCCCTTCCAGAAGTGATTTTATTTTATTTTAATATGTAGACATGCTCAAGAAACATAAATTATTAATTATAATTTCTGGAAAACTTAAAACCTAAACTTTATGTAAAATAAAACCATTACAGTATACTAAACCAAAATAAAATACATAAAATGTATATAATATAATAATTAAAATGATCATTATATGAATTATATATGACTGAAACATTTATTAAGGGGAGGGGAGATAAAGATGGGGCAAATAACACAATATCAGGATCTATAACTAACAATTTCATAAACTTTAGTTTATATTTATTCTCTTTATTCCAGACACCAGGTCCAAAAGTACAAAAGACAAACGAGCAAAAACAATACAAACCACACAATATACCTTAAAAAAGACGGTTAAGCCAATATTTCATTAAAGGTGACTGAGAACACACCTCAGTAAGCCTAGGATTTATCAATAACTTTAAAACACTATTCTGAGAATTCTCCAATCAACATATAAACATCAAATTTCTCTTCAAAGGAAAAAATTATCGAACTCTTACATTACAAAATAATTCACTTGCACAACAACAAAGAATAATTCTTAAACAATCATTGTATGCAACCTGCAGCTTATGGAGACTCCCTCTTTTAAAATTATACCACAGAAAAGCTGTGTATAAAGAACTGCAGTAAGTTCTAAAGAGGTTTACCCTAACCTGCTCCGAACAGAAATAAAACTTCCTCACCAGCTTTTTTGCTTGAACATATAACATTCGACATTCCCTGTACATATCATTATCATCACTCATATCTTCAGTAAGGACAAGGTTATATTCTTTAACCTTTTGATTTAATTTTTTTTGGAGTTTAATCAGTGACAGGGCCAGTATACTATTTCCAAGTTTTTTGTTTTTGTTTTTGCCTCATCTGCTCACCAAGGCTGCATTTGCTTGATTAAAACAGTAAAAACAGGATTTATTCAGAATATTCTTAATTTAACATGACTTTTTATTTTATTTCAATATGTAAACATCCTCAAGAAACATGAATTATTAAGTATCATTTTTGGAAAACATTGTTTTGATATGAAATTGTATATACAATTAAATTAATATAATTAATTTCATTTAATTAAAACTAAACTTTATGTAAAATTGAAACCATTACAGTATGTTAAACCAAAATAAAATATAAAAAATGTAAATTATATAATAATAAGAAATTATCATTATATCAAAAGTGTGAAGATAGATATTTTTATTTATACGTTATTCTTTAACATTCTCAAAATATCAGACTGCAGAATTTTATGATCAATCAGAATCAAGAATTTCAGAGAGCCATGTAATCATACATTTACTCACGATACAAACACTGAAGTAATAACTCAAATCTAAATCTGTGTTTTGAAGGTTCCAAGATCATTAATCCCTTCCGTTTCTTGGAGGTTTTTGAGACGTGGGGGCCGTTCATTGATGGACAGCTGCTCAAGGAACAGCCAATCACAGCCTTCCAAAAAGGCCACTGGCAGAGTTACAAGCCTGTTATACTAGGTCTCTGTTACTTTCTGTTTACTCTTCAGCATATATTTCATGATAAACACTAGTTAAACTGCGACACAAAGAACTGATCTGGGATGATTGTTCTACAATGTCTGCATCATTTACCTCATTTGGTCTGTGCTGTAGGTACGACTTCTGAGGAGGGGGTGATGTTTGTTTACAGAAATTTCAACAAATCCGTGTCAATGCTGGAATGTGTCCTCTACACTGCTGCCATTTTTAAGCAGCATGCGCTGAAAATTCTGCACAAATACATTCCTTTCTATCGAAACCAGGACAGACGAGTGATGCTTTCACAGGTAAGATGTCAGCTGCCTACAGACATGATCATCTACAGGACAAAAAAGAGAGAAGTTAGATGATACCACTTTACAATGAGGCTTGATTTGGTAAATAATGCTACTTTAAATTCTACTTTAACAATCTTAAGCCCAGAGTATAGTTTTCCGTGAAACATATTAAACATTAATGTTCAAAAAGTACTCATTTTTCACTCTTATAACCTTTTTGTAGCACCTCTATTTCCATTCTGTTTTAGATCTGGTTTCTGCAAGCCACTGCACTGTAAAACCCAAATTACTAAATGAAATGTTATAATTGGAAAAGTTACTTTGACTTAATGTAACTCATACAATGATTTTATTAAGCAGAACTCAAACCTAATGAGTTATGAAATAATGTATTATATTTTTGTTTTAACTCTAATGCTAGAAGCAATACTAAACTATTTGAGTAGCTTTATAGTTGTTTGGACTTAATTTGTCCTATTAACTGAACTCACACGGATTTGATAACTGAACTTAAAATGTTTAGGTTACTAATACTTCAAATGTTTGATAATATCAACACAAATAATATATATGACTCAATATACATATACGTTTACAGTACTCAGACCATTTTGTTTCAAAACTTAAATGGTTTGCCGCAATCGGTTTGAGACTTTGAGTTAACTTATCAGGTTTTACAGTGGAAAAGCTCAGAGTGTTCTGATTGGCTGGCTTATCCACTATGTGATTGGTCAAAGAATGTTCATTCACCTCAAGAATGTGTCAGAAATGTTACTCACCTTAAAGCTTTCGTTCATTCGTTTCTTAAATCGGCCTGTTTTGCAGATGGTGACAGATTATGTGTTTTCGTGTCCGGCTCGACAGTCTGCACGTTCTGGAGTTAAAGTAGGCGGAGCTGTTTGGATGTATGTATTTGACCACGCCCCATCAGATCCCAACATATGGGCGGAGCTTACATTCTGCTACAACCATTCCTGCCATGGGGCGGAGCTTCCTTTTCTTTTTGACTCTGCCCCCAGCACTAACTTCACATTTACACCTCAAGAGCGCCTCCTGGCTAATCGGATGGCCTGTTACTGGGGGATGTTTGCCCACACAGGGGACCCAAATTCTAGAGATGAACAGACACACTTCTGCAGAGAGCAGAGACTGCCTGTTTGGCCACGGTACACAGATATTGGGGGCTGGACCATCCTGAACCTGACTCTACAGTCACACCCTCAACATGGCAGCAGGGACCATTTCTGTGACTTCTGGGACCGACTGGATATTTATTAAGGGGAGGAGATAGAGATGGGGTAAAGAACACAATATCATCTATAACTAACAATTTTCATAAACTTTAGTTTATATTCTTTAACCTTTTGCTATTTTTATTTGGAATTTCAACATATTTAATCAGCAACAGGGCCAGATTTTCAAAGCAAATTTTTTCCTCATTTGCAAAAAACAAGGCTGCATTTGCTTGATAAAACAATAAAAACTGAAGTAATCCGAAATATTTTTAATTTAACATGACTTTTTTTTTACTTTGTTCTAAAATAGTAACTGTTTCTGTGATAAACTGAATTTTAAAAAAAGATACTTTAGTCTTAAGTGTTCTCTTCCAGAAGTCATTTCTAATATGCAGACATGCCAAAAAAAAAAAACATAAATTATTAATTATCAGTGTTGAAAAACTTTGCTTTGTTTAACATTTTTCTGTAAACCATGATAATTTTTTCAGGATTATTTGAATAATGTATATTATATATATTCTATTTTTTATATAGAAATCTCTATAACCTTATACATTTCTTCATCGTTAACAATAAATGCACATTTTAGAAAACTGAATGAAAACTATTTTTGGTAATACAATATTAACCATCTAGAACTTTTCCCCTTTATTAGCGAATATTGCATACTACTTGTCGAATTAAAAACAACAACAACAACATAGGCTCATTCTGAAGATGCACCCCTATATCATACCTGGCAACATTTGTATCTGAAAATCCGGGAGACCTGGGGGTGCCCTATATACATTTCTGGAGGTTGCAAATTATGTAGCCATTATGTAGCCAGAATGCATTTAGCATTTAAAACGAGCGCTATGGTGCGGTATGACGCTGTTCCTTTTCCTACTTATACCAGCTGACCGTTTACCTCTGTGTAAATGGCTTTTACGCTGTTCCCATTTTGTCCAGTGACTCGCCGCATATTTTGGAGGATTGGAGACACAGAGCGGAGCAGACCCTGACGACGGGGTTTGAGTCCGGTGAAGAACAATTTCAGAAAGTAGGTGAGGTGAAAACAAAAGCCAAAAAATAAAACAAACAAGTAAATAACAGGGTGAGAATGTGGTAAAATCTGAAAACATGGTCAAAATCAGGCTGCTGCGAGGGTTTTTCCTTTTCTGGATTGCTTTTGAAAATACTGTCGGTTGGGTTTAGGGAAGGGGGTGGGTGGGTCAATCGGTGCTTATAAAACACTATTGGTTGGGTTTAGGGAAGGGGGTGGGTGGTGATATCGGTCCATTAGTCAGTCAGTTGACAGCGGCCTCTGGTGGATTTGCGAAAACAAAAACTGCAAAAAAAAAAATGTAGCTCCTGGGACATATTTGGTGCTCTCCAGAAATGTACATAGTGGTTCATAATCAGAATGAGCCTGGGTTTAAAAAATCTATAAATACTGTATTTTTAAAAATTACAAATTATTTGAATTTACTATGGAAATTAATTGTATATTTGATTGAATACTCTATGCAAATAGATATTCCAAAATACATATAGATACATAAATACTTATATAAGGATCTGTAAAACTAATCTATACATATTCTATCCGCTTGTTAAGTGGTGACGTGTTGGTGACGTATGTAATACTGTTTCCGCGTCCAAGCCGCCATTCATTTGAGTGGAGAAATCATTCGTTTATGATGACTTTCTGGCCATCGGATATTAGGCATGGACATATATACTGCAATCGTGATTTTCGAAAGCCTTAAATCGCTTTGTAAATGTTTATTATTACCATTTCATGAATCTCCCCATTCAGTTGAATAGAGCGCTTGGACCCGGAAGCCGCTTCGCGTGATGTCACACTTAACAAGCGGATACATATCTGTCTGTATCATACAAAAATATCAAAGCAAGTGGCAATTCATTTTTAGTTTAAAAAAACAAGGCTTTGAGTGTACTCAGCTGTTATCAACTTCAGCTTTATTTATTCACCTTTGACATCCATCTAATAAAAACTGTTAGCCTTAGTCATCTCAAATATTGCTCTGAAAACAAAAAATTTCACCAATATTTCACCAAGATTCCACTTTCTTTGATATTCTGCACAGCATTGACACTTCTGAGCACTTCAGATATTTAAGTTCAACTATAAACATTGACCAGAGGTCTCTGTGCTTAAGAATAAATATTACAGGCTTCACTTACGTCTAAATGGAGTTTGTATGCACTTCTTCCTCCTCTTCCTCATCCTCCTCAGAGTAAATCTGAGGGCGTAACAGAGAGCGTGTGTATAAAACAGCCCCTACACATAAAAGTCTGTGCAAACACTCCAACACAGAAACAACCAGCTGCTGTTTACCACTGACCGACTCCAGACACAAACCCTCACTAAACCCAAACTCAAATTTCACAGGGTCTCCAACGCTGGTTCGATCCCATTTCTTAAGATCATTGAAGAAGCAAGTCTGGATGTTCAAGAAACGTCTGTGATTGTGCGCATACAAAGCTCTAGGCACACACAACAAAGCCTCCGCCAGCAACCTGCAGCTCTCCGGGTCACTGGTATGCCTGGTCAACAAAAAGTGATGTAGCAGGAACTCAAACACACCACCGACAGGCAAAACTCCGCCAGCCTGCATAACTGCCCTCCATAGATCCTGAGATGAAACGGTGCATTGTGATTGGTCAACAGAAGAACTCTTGAATTGATTGGATTCTAGGGTTCGAGTGATATGTTGTAACATTAAAAACACACCTCGACTTACACACACAGTCTGATCAAGCAATCCTGGCGCCGGTGCGCAAAGAACAAGCGTGTGCGCGTTTGAATATATTCCCAATTGGGCGCAGCGAAGCCCACCCAGTTGCAAACGCTTACAGTATTTTAACATCACAATGTGTTGCGGATGAGAAAGAGTTTCTGGAAAATTGATGTTGCAAAGAAAGTCTAATTGGTCCGAGTCAACACACTCAAGAAGAGCGACGTGGTTCATTCGAGCCCATTGTAACACACACTCCGGCTGCTTTACAGAAGACAGCACCACATTCACCTGTAATTCTAGTAAATATGCTAACTTTTGCTTTGTGATGCTCTCTGTGCGACTCAACCAGTCTTGCTGAAAGCATACGGTTATATTATCACCAAGAGATGATCCAAAACTCTCATATAAAACTAGCGCTTTTATTGGACCTCGCAATTCAGTCCACACTGACCAATCACGAGTCACAACCAGGCCTTCAATCACCTCAGAGCAGCCAACAGGAAGTCCGGCCACTCGCGTATGTAAGACATTAAAGTGTGAATGAATGAATGAGATTGTTTCGGTTGTGTTTTGATCTCGTTTAGATTTATAGTAAAACTCACACAGGATATGTTTAAGGATTTCCGCCTGGCCAGCTCCTGTTCTTCCAGAAATGTACCCGCTGATCAAATAATCTAGGATGCTGTGCTCCAGTTTGTCGCTATGGTGACTACAGTATGATGAGGCATATGGGGTAACTTGGTGTATTATGATATCATCCAGCTCATTCCTACTGAGCGCCATCAAGCGATTAGCAAGATTTTGAAGAGCAGGGTTGCTCCAAGATGCTTTGCGGCGCATGTGTGCAGAGTCTTGAATTGCTCGCAATAGTGCAGACAGAAGGAGAATGAATGACTTTGTGCCGTCGCCAGTGGATTTAGCATGTGCGCACACGCAGTCCAACACCATCCTGAAAAACAAAGACGAAAACAGGGATGGATAACTAGCTACATCTACATCATTTTCAAATGAATACATAAACAAAAAAAATTACATTTGAAAAATGTCAAAAGTTTTGGTTTGCTTTTCTATTTTATTTTATTTTTTTTACTTTTCTAAGCAATGTTTCTGGGTTGTGTTTTAATGAAGAAACTGAAAAACTAAATAAATCATATGTAGTCATTATACCATTATACCAAAAGAGCACATGCAATGGTTGTGAAGATACTAACCAAGAACATGAGAATTCTTGTAGCAAACTTATGTGTATTGTTTTAAGAAAACAACCGTTCATTTGTGTTGTGTTTTATTTTCATCTGTTTATGTTCATTTATTCTTCATTTAATTATTTTATTTAATCATATGATTATTAGTCATTTATATAATAATAATTTTTATTATTAGTTAATGATTTGATTATTATTATTATTTTTGATTTTATTATGTTTTTATATTAGATTTTTACCATTTTCCTATAATTATTGCTTTATTGTTATTATTATTTCCTTTATTATATCCATATTGATATAATTCTATGACTGTGTGGCTTCAAGCGACACTTGTTTACATGAGTAAGTGATGAGCGAAAGTCTTCATTTTAAGGTCTGTATTATCTCTGGACAATGTTGTAAAGCATTCATTTTCCATTGCTGTTGCTTGTGGTATAATAACACTTGTATTAATCTTGGTCAGACGACGTTTGAGCATTGAATCATACGTAACTAAGATTATTCAACAAACTCTGCTCTTTCTTTATCATCATTACTTTCTCTCCTGCTTTTGCTCCTCCCTGGCTTTCTCAGACAACTCCTGTATTGATAGGAGATTGTTAATTCAGTTGAACACTGGTTAACAGGTATGGGTATTGGGTGGCTCCTCTGGCTTGTTGTCTGGATACCCAGAGAAAGACATTTTCTGACAGGACCTGGCATCCGGGGCTGGATCTTATTTATTTGGCATGAGCTGCATCTCAAATGGCACACTATACACTATGCACTAATGCACTATGTACTTATGCACTTACACACTCAACAGCATAGTATATGTATGTAGTGTCGTCCCAATTGAAACACTAATGTTTTTTACTAATTGGAAATTCAAACAGTTTCCCTGATGACGTTTGACGGTGGCCAAATCAGTTAAATAAATGACCAAATTATCAAATAATACCTGCCATGAGTATAACCACATTCAGTATGTGATTTGGGACACCGCTATGGAGAGTGTGTTCTTACATTCGCATAAGACTTACAATTGAAGTCAGAAATAGCCTCCCTTAATATTTTCTTTCCCCAAATTCTGTTTAACGAAAAGAATATTTATTTCAACACATTTCCAAACATAATAATTATAATAACTCATTTCTTACAACTGTTTTTTTATCTTTACCATGATGACAGTACATAATGTTTTACTAGATATTTTTAAAAATACTAGTATTCAGCTTAAAGTTACATTTAAAGGTTTAACTGGGTTAAATTGTTCAATTATGCAAGTTAGGGTAATTAGGCAAGTTATTGTATAATTATGCTTTGTTCTGTAGACAACAAACAAAATATAGCATGAAGGGGCTAATAATATTGACCTTAAAGTAGTTTTTAAAAAAATAAAAAGCCAAAATAAAACAAATAAGACTTTGTCCAGAACAAAAATATTATAGGAAATACTGTGAAAAATTCCTTGCTTCGTTATAATATTGTAAAATGCGAATGTGATGTAAACGCATGAATACCTGGCCATAGGGTGCTCTAGGTGTAGTGTGCTGAGAACTCTCTGTCCATGTCTGCTGATGAGTGTTTCCCCGGTGTCACGAGTGAACAGCACACTGCCGCCCTCTGGACCCAGACACCGGCGGACTACAGACTCCAGCGGCCCGAGAACACTCACACACACCTGCAGAGACACACATTCCAGCTGCTGCTGCATCTACACACATAAACACACACACACACACAAATATATATATATAGTAAATGTACTTGTATTCTTCATAGATGTAATGATTTTAATTCTTTCTAAACTTTATTGTATTGCTATATCCTTTTCACAAACCTAAACAAAACTCACAAAAAACACATACTGGCAAATTTAGAAAATATTCATTCATTCATTTTCTTGTCGGCTTAGTCCCTTTATTAATCCGGGGTCGCCACAGCGGAATGAACCGCCAACTTATCCAGCACGTTTTTACAAAGCGGATGCCCTTCCAGCTGCAACCCATCCCTGGGAAACATCCACACACACATTCACTCATACACTACGGACAATTTAGCCTGCCCAATTCACCTGTACCGCATGTCTTTGGACTGTGGGGGAAACCGGAGTACCCAGAGGAAACCCATGTGAACGAAGGGAGAACATGCAAACTCCACACAGAAATGCCAACTGAGCTGAGGCTTGAACCAGCGACCTTCTTGCTGTGAGGCAACAGCATCACCTACTGCGTCACTACGTCGCCATATAAATTTTTAAAAAAGTTTAATATGTTCTTAAAGAGGGCAGCATGGTGGCTCAGTGGTTAGCACTGTCTCCTCACAGCAAGAAGGTCACTGGTTCGAGTCCCGGTTGGGCCAGTTGCCATTTCTGTGTGGAGTTTGCATGTTCTCCCCATGTTAGCGTGGGTTTCCTCTGGATGCTCGAGTTTCCCACACAGTCCAAAGTCCACAGATGCATGTGAATGAGAGTGTGTATGGGTGTTTCTCAGGGACAAAGTCAAAGGAAAATGAATGAATGTTTTAAAGATTTTATTTTTGTTATTTCTTTAAAAAGGGAAACATGTGTCCTCGTAAACCATAAATTAAAGCAGCCACATCACACAAATATATTAGGTTACTGTGAGTTATGAGGACTTTGCAATGACTTATGTTGTTGGTTTTTTTTTGTTTTGTTTTTTAACTGGGACATTCTAAAACACTTAACGTGGCTTATTGTACTAAAACATCAACCAGAGAAACCCATATTTCTGTCAAACTTCACTTGTAATGAACCCCAACGATTGTAAAAAGAACAAGTCCCAATTCCATAGAGAAAGTGAAAAACAGCATATTAAGCGTTTTCTCCCCTGTTGCAGTCTATTATAAGGGAAAAGCTTAACGTGGCTTAATGTACCTTAACAACAAGCAGGGAAAACCAAATTTCTATCAAATTTTACTTGTGATTAGCATTAACTTTGAGTTTGGTTTGCCTCGGTTGTTGTAAAGTTATGTTAAGCCTTTCCTTATTGTAGACTTCAATAGGGAGAAAACGCTTAACGTGATATTGTTCACCTTATCTATGGAATTAAGGCCCGTTCTTTGACACAATGGTTAGTATTAATCATAAGTAAAGTTTGACAGAAATGTGGGTTTGCCTGGTTGGTGTTATAGTAAGTTAAGCTGTTTCCTTATAATAAACTTAAAATGCATAATGTGAAAAATGTCACACACTAAAATTAGAGCTCATTCTTTTGACATCAGAAAGTGTTTGTCATGAGTAAATATATATAGAATTTGATTTTCTCTACTTGTTGTTAAGGTACATTAAGCCACGTTAAGCTTTTCCCTTATAATAGATTTCAGCGGGGGAGCTGTTTTTCACTTTATTTATAGAATTGGGACTCGTTGGGTACAGTCGTTGGGGTTCATCACAAGTAAAGCTTGACAGAAATTTGTGTTTCTCTAGTTTGTGTTTAAGTAACTTACATTAAGCCACGTTAAGCTTTTTAAAATTTCCCTAAACTAATCTAGAGATTTTTTTCTCTAAACACAACCTTACCCCGACAGAAAACCTTTGCATTTTTACACTTTCAAATAAACATCATTCTGTGCTTTTCATCATTTTGGTCTTCACAATATCAAAAATCTCAGATGTTTGGTCCCCACAATGTAGCATAAACAAGTACACGCTCACACATACCACATCACATACACTTATTATGACACCACAAGTCAAACTTAGGACATTTACGTAAACATTTCACAAGAGGAAAAAAGGTAAATCATGTTTATTTACACTGTAAGTGACTTGTGTCCGTAACTTACTCTAACGTTAAACCTCTTCTGTGAACCAGCGAGTTCAAAAGGACGACATAGGTCACGCTGCAGCTACATAGCTAAATATACAGAAATAAAAATACGAGAACATGTGTATAATGTGTATAAATAATAACAAGTATAAATGTGTAAAATAATCCTATCATAATAAAAACCTGCATATCTGTTGAACATCCTCAAGCTTCAGCCAGTTTCCAGGCGACGCTCTTCTTCTGTGGTGTTTTTCTGCGAGAGCAGATGATACGGACATCTGCAGGACATAGAGCGGAAGTACATACAGTATGGAGAGCTCACTTGCAAAAACAGGCAAGTATCGAAATGCTTATTATTTAACTCTTAAGTACTCAATGTAAAAAGATGACTTTTGAAAACTACTAAAAAGTTCCGTTTTTAGTTGTTTACACATAGGCCTATCGTCTTTTGCAGTGTTTATTTTACGTTTTGCTAATAATCTCTTCTTGTATAAAAAGTAACTAAACTACACAAGAACTAAATCATAACAATAAAACTGCATTTTTACATGTATCTCTAGAAATGAATCAATAAATTGTATAAAATTGTGCATTTAGTCATTTCAGCTTCATTAAATATGTAAATAACCTTAAATTTATTATTATTCATCCATCTATCTATTACATTTCCAATTAATCCAAAATAAAATGTAAATAAACACATAAACATACACAATATAGCTTCAAATAAATAGCACAAACTAATTTATAAATATCACAATTATGTAATTATCATACTATATTATTTTGGCGACACAGTGGCTCACATTGGTTAGCACTGTCGCCTCACAGCAAGAGGGTCGCTGGTTCGATTCCCTGCTTGGTCAGTTGGCATTTCTTTTTTGGCATTGAGTTTGCATGTTCTCCCTGTGTGGGCGTGGGTTTCCTCCGGGTGCTCTGGTTTTCCCCACAGTCCAAACACATGCGCTATAAGTGAATTGAATAAACTAAATTGGCCGTAGTGTATGTGTGTGAATGAGTGTGTATAGGTGTTTCCCAGTACTGGGTTGCAGCTAGAAGGGCATCCGCTGTGTAAAACATATGCTGAATAAGTTGGCGGTTCATTCCGCTGTGGCGACTGCTGATGAATAAATGAACTAAGCCAAAGGAAAATGAATGAATGATTTTATCTACTATCATTGTTATTTATTTTATTATTTGAACTATTTTGCCGCTTTCATGGAATTTCTAGTGATTTGTATGTAAATTGCTTTTATATATAAAAATAAAGCACTTCAAAAATAATACAAACACAATATTTTCAAGAAAACAAATCTTCATTTTATTCTCAGCTGTATTCTTCAAAAAAAGTTTTTCTTTTATTATTTTTTCATCTATGAGTATTGTTGTGCACTTTATTATTCAAAGTACTGCTGCTTTCATTTATTTGTATGTAAATTGCTTTAAAGGGCACATATGATGAAAATCTTTTTTTGTAAGCTGTTTGGACAGAACTGTGTGTAGGTATAGTATGTCCATAGTCATACTGGAGTGATAGAAACACAAGAAGCGTCTTTTTTTTCAAAATTTACTGACGTTAAAATAGGATCCAAATCCCAGTGATTTTAAGGCCTACTGCAACGTGACGTAAGAGTGCAGTTTTCTCCACCCACTGAATTGATTGACAGGCACCATGTTTCTATAATAGACCCTTTTCACATTTCCGGGTCTCTCAGTAGTGGAAGTCGTCATAGTAGGGAAAACGTAGAGCAGGAAGAGTATAACAAATATTTTGTTACAACCCTATTTTCTGAAATAATAAAAGTAAAACTCCATGATGATGCTATAAAAAAAAGGGAGACTGATGACGGCAGCCAGAGGAGAAAATAACGTCAAATTTGCTGTTCTGTCACATTACAATTGCCTTGCATAAGCGGTGATTAGTTTTTTTGTAATTTGAAGCAAAAATGATATAATACATTCATAAATACATATAAATGTTCATACGTTAAAAAAAAAAAAAAAAAAAGAAATATTAAAAACTTTCAAGAATTTAAGATGCAGATGACCGTTAAACGCGTCATAACAGGTTGTGAAAAGAGCCCATAGCATGTATACACATCCACAGAATATTTTTTGCAAACAAACTAGGATTAAAACATGCAAACGGCATTTGTGTGGGACTCATCATTGCAGAAAGGCTTGAATAAACTCCACCACAAATACATCAAAAAAACGTACTTAGTATTTTTGACTAATGAGCTGAATTTCAGCTTCATCTGTGTCTGTTTCTGTCACTGACTGCTGTTTATCTGATGTAATGCCTCATTCACACTAGAAGCATCAATAGATATTTCCATACACCTATTTCCATTTTGCATATGCGCATAAAAAACAGTTATGCGTATAAGTGAGTGGGGTAAACTTTTTATTCGATAATAAAAGATGCGCATAAACCATGATGGAATCATTTTTAACGCACAAATTTCAGTTTGCGTATTAAAAAAGGTCATGTGATTTTGTGATAAGAGATTATGTGATGGTGAAAATGTGTGTGAATGGACAAACCAGCAGGCTGAGCACATTGTAAAACATCTGAAATGTTGTTTTAGTCATTCTAAAACGCCTTAACCATTTCAGTATTAGTGTTATTATATTATTAATGATCTTTAGAATCAAGAGCATCGGTGCTCACCGTCTGACACCTTTAAACGCCACCGCGTTCACTGCATGTCAGGATTGCCTTTTGAGGCGCAAGTCTTTTATTAGATGAAGAAAAGCTTGATGCTGCTTCTCTTACTGCTGCAAATCCAGTTTTGACTGTTGATATTTGGCGCCAGTTAATCAGGAAGTTACGATTTTGTTCGCTTTGACTCTTTAGATGGAAACACTGCTTTATTTGCACATCTTTTTTTTTGCATAAAGGTCATTCGCATTTTTGGATGGAAAAATAGCTATTGTAGCGGCCTGTCGCTCTGAGTGGCAACCTGCTGCAAACACATGTCTGTGTACGTCTACAGCACGGAGAACACAACCGGCCTCTGAGCAAGCTGAGAGAGGATCACGTGAGCTCTCCTGGTGCTCCAATTGGCTGTCACTCAAGAAAGTCGCTCTTCATTTGCATAAACTTGAAGGATTCTCAACTTTGGCTCGATACGCCCACCTACTGTAGTTGCCAACAGGTGCTGTCGCTCTCGTAGACGGAGGTCGCCGGAAGTCGCTCACTCTCCTCTGAAATGAGCGGTTGCTTGTTGCTAGATTCGCTCATAGTGTGAATGAGGCTTAAGGCAGGAGAAAGCAGACGTCGGAATGGTGGGCGGGGAGAAGCAGCTCATTTGCATTTAAAGCCACAGACTACAAAAACAGCTACACTGTACTCAGACACTAAAATGGGCAGATTCTGGAGGCTATAATAAAGAATCTGAAGGGTATTTTAAGCTGAAACTTTACAAACACATTCCAGAGACACCAAAGGCTTGTCTTACATTTTGTTAAAGGGGTAAAATAGGTGCCCTTTAATGTATAAAAGCAATGTTAAAATATTTAAAATCACAATATTTACATAAGGAAAATGTACATTTAATCTTCTTTTAAGTGTACAGGTTTCCTGATGTGACCTCTACTTTTCGACGTGTTTCTACATCCCGTGTTAAAGTGTTTGTCATAACGTCCATATGGTTCCACCCACTGCTGCACAGATTGGACAACTGGATGCTTCTCATACACTCCGTCTTTCTCTCTCATTCTCTCTCTCTCTAGCATCAGTAAAATCAGCCAATCATTCCCATACTCTCCTTCTTTTGAAAAAAATCTCACTAACAAGCACAAGAAGAGATTTTCTCAGTCTTTAAACTTTTCTGTTTCTCCCTCAAGAGTCATTCTTAAACAAACGACCAGTCCATTTACACCAGAGCTGCAGGTAAGTGTGTTTATTCCCTAATATTTAATCTAATATGTGTGTCTTGTGCATGCATTTTCAAATAAATACTGTGATGCTTTGCAGAATTATGTTTGTGTGAGTTTTTGGATTATCATTTGTTTGATGCTATATGTATTGGTGTAGTGTATATGCATGTTTATTAATATTTGTGCTGCATATTGAGGTATAAGTTGGAGTCAGCAGTGCGTCTCAGGGGTATCGGTGTCACTGGCTTTCTGTGTCTCGTTTCACTGTAAATAGAGACAAAAATCAATGAATTGCTACTCAGCATTTCTCAAAATAATCCAAGGTTAAGCAGCATCATGTCACCTGCTGTGTGCGCTGAATGTGAACCTGGCTTTGCCTTTACACCTTATAATATATTGAAATGAATTCATCTACATTGCACTCATGATCTTGATCCGATGGCAAAGGTCATAACAGTGTGATTTGCATTTATGAGCATCACACACGGAAATAAATGTTCAAACTACTTGTTTAGAATAAGCTGAAACAACACATTTGGGTTTTATTTGGGACAACTTAATTATTTTGTGTTCAATCTGCTTAAATTTATTAAAACTAATGAACTTATCTGATTTGAGTTGGGACAACATGAAGGAATTGTGTGGACCCCTGCAGTTTTTACAGTGATTTACACAAATAAAATTTCTGCTACTTATTTAAACTGAGATTAATTAATAATTCTTCTAGTTTTTAGGACAGCTTAATTGTTTTATGTTTAATCTATTTACATTTTTAAAAACAATTTAGTAAATTAATCAATTTGTGCTGGGACAACATGAAGGAATTGTGTGGAACCCGGCATTTTTTTACAATGAAGGCTGAACAATTCTGGATTATTATTAATAATAATAATTAGTTCTGGGCAATGATAAATTGCATTCAAAATAAAAGTTTGTTTTTTCATAATATATGTGTATTATATGTATTTATTAGGTAAATGTAATTTACTTAAATGTAATAAACTTATACAAAAACAATATTTACATAATCATATATTTATTTCTAATAAATTTTCTCAAATATATGCACGTGCATATTTAAATGTACATAATAATGTATTGTTTTATGTAAATACAAAAGCATACATTATATACTAACCAAATACAAACCTTTATTTTGGATTTGATTAATCACTAAAGTGTGATTGAAGATTAAATTTGGGGCACTAAGACACTCAGCCTGCGGCCTTGTGCCATCGCATGCCTCCCACCAGTGCCTATATACAGCCATATCACACTGCTACTCGTGTGATACTGCTCATATATATAAATTGTCAAAAGTTTGCTTGTCAGAATCACCATATTTTTGGAAAGAGATTGCATGAGTGTAAACTAAATCAATCTTTGAAGATAAATCATCAAGTTAAACACACAATACTTATCAATTCTGCCCTCTTCTCAATGTCGTCTCCAGAATGCATGAAGATGATGCTCCACTGGCTGCTTCTTCATCTTCTCCGGCGTCTCTAGCACAGAAAGAATCAAAAATACCTGGATCTACGATTTCCTCACCCACAGCTGTTCATCCTCAAACTACGACCGCAGACAGTCTGGTCCACAGCATCAGAAGCAAGTTTCTAAATGAGCTTCACAAAGTCCCATGTGAGTCCACAATATTTCAGTCTTTTTAGGGCCTATAGTTTGGTTTTTGCAATTTAAGACTTGACAAGACCACGCAGACACCCTGGTTTGCTGTCATTTCTATGTTTCTCTAGTACCGTCCTGGGCTACAGCAGCGCTCGGCTTCATCACAGTCTTCATCGTCCTCAGCTGCTGTCTGTGCATCTTCAGGAAGATGATCTTTAAGAAGAAAAAGGAAAAAGGAGGGAAAGAGAAAAATGAAAAGAACGACATCAACATGTCTAACGTGAAAGAGGAGGGAACAAAACAGGTACTCATTAATATTAGATGAATCTGTTTCACATTTGTGAAGTTGTGAAACTATTTACTTAAGTATCACCATCTAGACTCTGTTGATTGATTAATTACATCATTTTAATAATGATATTAATGGAGAGAGAGAAAAAAGGGAGAGAGGGTGATTTTGGGAGTTAAATAATTATTTTAAATAATCATGTCTATTTTATTCATAAAATTGCAAAGTGTGAAAAAAATGTAAGCATGCATTGGTGTTATTTTATTATTTATTTAGTATTATTAGATTATATTGATATTATTATTATTATTGCTATTGTTGTTTTTGTTGTTATTATGTTTGTTGTTGTTGCTGCTGCTGATGTTTTACTACCACTACTAATAGAGATTATACTAATAATAATGCCGATAGTAGTAATACTACTACTACTACTAATAATAAGCTCTAATAGGAAAAAGTTGGCATTAATGGAAGAAGACAGTTTGCCATTTTTATAATTTTGTTATATATACATTTGAAGTCAGAATTATTGGCATTATTGGAATTATTATTTTTCTCAGCCTCCTACATGCTTATGTTTAGGTTAAGTATTTTTCCATGAAAATAACTTATTTGTCACTATAAAGGTAAACATTCTGAGCCGACACACTAGAGCAGGGGTCACCAAACTTATTCCTGGAGGGCCGGTGTCCTGCAGATTTTTGTTCCAACCCTAATCAAACACACCTGAACAAGCTAATCAAGGTCTTACTTGGTATACTTGAAACATCCAGGCAGGTGCGTTGAGGCAACTGAACGCAGAGATTGGCCCTCCAGGACCGAGATTGGTGAACCCTGCACTAGAGTCAGAGAAAAATGCTAAATTTAGAAAAAAAAAATATCAAACAGCATTAGCATTTGCATCTAAACCCTTCATGTATATATATGTATGTATATATATATATATATATATATATATATATATATATATATATATATATATATATACTGTATATATGAACAGAAACTTTATTTATGCGCATGTATGAATGTGCATGTATATGTGCATGTATAGATTTTTATTCTTTTCGTCATCATGACTCATTAATGTTGCTTGAATTTACATGCGTGAGGTTACCATCGAAATGGAAGTTGCATGCCCTGTTTGGTGTCGCCATTCAAGTTAATCCACAGTGCTGCATACGAGCATTGGTTAAAGAGTTCTTTTGTTGTTCATTCATTTAGCTGTAAAACAACATTAAAAGGTAACTGTAATTGTATTTTCAATAGGAAACTGATAGTGACTGTAATAATTTTTTTAAACTTAAAAAATATTATTGAAGGGAGACAGCTTGAGAGCCACATATTTTTGGTTAAAGAGCCACATGTCTCTAGATATATATATATATATATATATATATATATATATATATATATATATATATATATATATATACTGTATATATATATATATATATATATATATTTATGTATGTATGTATGTATGTATGTATGTATGTATACACAGTTGAAGTCAGAATTATTAGCCCCCTTCAAATTTTTCCTTCTTTTTTAAAAATATTTCCCAAATAATGTTTAATGTTTAACAGAGCAAGGAAATCTTCACAGTCTGTCTGATAATATTTTGGCTTCTGGAGAAAGTGTTATTTGTTTTATTTCGGCTACAATACAAGTAGTTTTTCATTTTTTTAACATCATTTTAGGGACAAAATTATTAGCCCCTTTAAGCTATATTTTTTCTCGATAGTCTACAGAACAAACCATCCTTATACAATAACTTACCTAATTACCCTAACCTGCCTAGTTAAACTTATTAACCTAGATAATCCTGTAAATGTCACTTTAAGCTGTATATACAGTAGGTGTCTTGAAAAATATCTAGTTAAATATTATTTACTGTCATCATGGCAAAGATAAAATAAACCAGTTATTAGAAATGAGTTATTAAAACTATTATGTTTAGAAATGTGTTGAAAAAAATCTCTCCATTAAACATAAATTGGGGAAAAAATAAACATGCGGTCTAATAATTCAGGGGGGTTAATAATTCTGACTTCAACAGTATATAACTTCAGAATTGTTATTTACTTTATTTTCCACTTATTTAAATGTCATTCTGTGTTCTTGTGCAAGTTTTGTACCCTGAGCTCCTGAAAAAACAAACAAAAAAAATCCTTGTGTGTTATTCCCTGGCAAATAAAGCTCATTTTGATTCTGACTCCTGCTAATGGCTGTCACTGTAATGACTGTATTTACAGGCTGTTCATCACACCACTGATTCTGATGCCAAAGAAGAAGACTCAGAGTCAAAAGAGGCTCAGAAACTGGGAAAACTTCTTTATACCCTTGACTACAACTTCACTGACAGCACGGTAGGAATACAAATGAATCCCCAGCATTAATTCAGTCATCGATAATATCCATATTAATGAGAGAAACTTGCTTAGGCATTAGAACGTCACACAGTATATCTTTATTTTAGCACTAAAACAGTGTATTATTGGAATAATAATGACCTTCTGTCTGGTTCAGTTAATTGTAGGTGTGATTCGGGCTGAAGGGCTTGCTGCTATGGACATGAGTGGCACTTCAGATCCATACGTTAAAGTTTACCTCCTCCCCGACAAGAAAAAAAAGTTTGAGACTAAAGTTCATCGCAAAACACTCGAGCCGACTTTTAATGAACACTTCACCTTTAAGGTACGTCTAAAAACACACTTGGATTATATTTTATTTATGGAAAGAATAAATATTAAAAAGGCACAGTGGCGCAGTGGTTAGCACTTTCGCCTTACATCAAGAAGGTTGCTGGTTCGAGTCCCTTCTGGGTCAGTTGGAATTTCTGTGTGGAGTTTGCATGTTCTCCCCGTGTTGGTGTGAGTTTCCTCCGGGTGTTCCGGTTTCCCCCACAAGCCCAAAAACATGCGCTATAGGTGAATTGTGTAAACAAAATTGTCCGTAGTGTATGAGTGTGTGTGTGAATGCAAGAGTGTATGGGTGTTTCCCAGTATTAGGTTGCGGAATAACTAAATCCGCTACTGATAAAGTTTATATAGGCTACTAGAAGATTGAGTGTATGTAAGTACATAGTGTGGAGACAGTTTGCGTGAGATTCTGATGTTGATTTTACAGGTACCGTATGCAGAGCTCGGAGGGAAGACGCTGGTCATGACGGTGTACGATTTCGACCGTTTCTCCAAGCACGATGCGATCGGGGATGTGAGGCTGCAGATGAATAAGGTGGACTTCAGCCATCTTACTGAGGAGTGGAGAGACCTGCAGAAAGCTGAGAAAGAGGAGGTATGAGTGTTTTACCCCCCTGAGGTTTCACAACTGAATTGAGTTCTGGAATAGCACAAAACAATGGGATTTAATCAGTGCAAAACATCACAGTTTTGATTTGCATTTACGTAAAAGACTATTTTGTTTGTTTTTATTACTATAAACTACTGATGGCATTTCTACCACGTTTTTAAAGCATAAAATAAAAATGTTTTTTTCCATGTTCATGCTTATATCTGACTGAATCACAACAAATGAAAGCATTTGTAAAAAAATGTATTAGTATTTTTAATTGAAATATATATATATATATATATATATATATATATATATATATATATATATATATATATATATATATATATATTTTTATCTCAAACCTTTATAGAATAAAACAAACAAAAACATTTTACTGGTTCCTAATAAATCTAGCAACTCATTTTTTGTAATAGCTGAAAATAAATCACAGCAAAAGCAAAACCTTTTTAATTTTTTTGCGATGATTACAGAACACAATAATTAATTAGTAGTTAATAAGTTTAAAATATAATACTTATTAAGGGTGCTAATAATGTTAACCTTAAAATGTTATATGTGAAAAATTAAGAACTGCTTTTATTGAAGCCAAACTAAAAGAAATGAGACTTTCTCAAGAGGGGAAAAAATCTAAATCAATTTGGAAATGTATAAAATTTCATTGGAGAGGTAATAGTTTTGCCTTCATTTGTAAATATATGTTATGTACACTCACCGGCCACTTTATTAGGTACACCTGTCTAACGCAAATTTCTAATTGGCCAATCACATGGCAGCAACTCATGGCATGTAGACATGGTCAAGACGTTCTGCTGCAGTTTAAACCAACCTTCAGAATGGGGAAGAAAGGTGATTCAAGTGACTTTAACCGTGACATGGTTGTTGGTGCCAGACGGGCTGTTCTGAGTATTTCAGAAACTGCTGATCTACTGGATTTTTTTATGCACAACCATCTCTAGGGTTTACAGAGAATGGTCTGAAAATTTGAAAATATCCAGTGAGCGCCAGTTCTGTGGGCACAAATGCCTTGTTGATGCCAGAGGTCAGAGGAGAATGACCAGACTGGTTTCAGCTGATAGAAAGACAACAATAACTCAAATAATCACTCATTACAACTGAGGTCTGCTGAAGAGCATCTCTGAACACACAAAACACGTCCAACCTTGAGGTGAATGGGCTACAGCAGCAGAAGACTATACCAGTGCCACCTCTGTTAGCTAAGAACATGAAATTGGGGCTACAATTCACACAGAGTCACCAAAACTGGACAAAAGAAGATTGAAAAAACGTTGCCTGGTCTGATGAGTCTCCATTTCTGCTGTGACATTCAGATGGTAGGGTCAGAATTTGGCATCAACAACAAGAAAGCATGGATCCATCCTGCCTTGTATCAACGGACCAGGGTGCTGGTGGTGGTGTAATGGTGTGAGGAATATTTTCTTGGCTCACCTTGGGCCCATTAGTACCAATTGAGCATCGTATCATCACCACAGCCTACCTGAGTATTGTTGCTGACCATGTCCATCCCCTTATGATCACAGTGTACCCATCGTGAATCATCTCAGACTGCTTTCTTGAACATGACAATGAGTCTACTGTACTTAAATGGCCACCACAGTCACCAGATCTCAATCCAATAGAGCACCTTTGGGATGTGGTGGAACGAGAAGTTTGCATCATGGATGTGCAGCCGACAAATCTGCAGTAACTGCGTGATGCCATCATCTCAATATGGAGCAAAATCTCTGAGGAATATTTCCAGTAGCTTGTTAAATCTATGCCATGAAGGATTAAGGCAGTTCTGAAAGCAAAAGGGGGTCCAACACGGTCATAGTAACGTGTTCCTAATAAAGTGGCTGGTGAGTGTGTATTCATATACTGCGCATATGTCTTGTTTAATCTGTCGTCTGTTAAATTATTCAGTGTTGATTTCAGAATGAAGACTGCAATAATAACTGACATTTTGTTGTTGACTCAACAGCAAGAGCGGTTAGGTGATATTTGCTTGTCTCTGCGCTACGTACCTACGGCTGGAAAGCTGACCGTGGTCGTTCTGGAGGCCAAAAACCTCAAAAAGATGGATGTGGGTGGACTCTCGGGTGAGTGGAGAAGTCAAGTACAGACACATTTCACATCACAGTGATGAAACATCTCTCTCATTTTTTCTGATGCTATATTTCTGCTCTACAGACCCGTATGTGAAAATCCACTTGATGCAGAACGGCAAAAGACTGAAGAAAAAGAAAACCACGATTAAGAAGAACACACTGAACCCATATTACAACGAATCATTCAGCTTTGAAGTGCCATCTGAGCAGATTCAGGTACAGATCTAATTTTATTTTAAAGGATCTCATTATGCTGCTCTTTTACAAAGTGTTATATACACCACGGTTCAAAAGGTTGGGTCAGTATGATTTTTAAGGGTTTTAAAATAAGCTTCTCCTCCCCGAGGCTGCATTTATTTAATCAAAAATTCTGTACAAATTGTAAAATAGTGAAATGTTCTTGCACTATAAAATAACTGTTCAAAATTAGTTTATCATTTAATTGAATCATTTATCCCAGTGATTTTAATGGTGAATTTTCAGCTTCATTACTCCAGTCTTCAGAGTCACATGATCCTTCAAAAATCACTTATATTAATTGTATATTAATATAATATATTATATATGTACAGCTCAGGAACAGAGCAGCGCCACTGGTCAGACATGCTGGCCAATCCAAGAAGACCCATCGCCCAATGGCACGCGCTTAAACCTGAAGAGGATGTGGACGCCGAACTGATAAAGAAGTGAAGCTGTGCGTAAAAGAGCATTCGTATATGAGTCAAAGATGAGTTTTTCATAGAATATGCTCAGATTTCTTTTTTTTAGAGCAAAAAAATTAAATGCCTACCATAGATTTTTATCATGACTTTAAGTTTATACTAAAGTGTTTATTAAGAACAATTTGATGACACTTTAAAATATTTGATTTAAGGATCACTGAAGTATGTATTAATCGTCATTTTAAAGCTCTAAATTTTAAATATTTTTTTTTTTTCATATGCCCACATGTTTCTAAAAGCATAATAAATCATAGTATGATTTAAATAAGTATAACATTAAAAGATATTAAAGGTGATACATATAGATTTATTATTGATAAAACTTATTTTGTCAATTGTTCACTTGATGCAGACAT